CGCAGCTACACAAAACAATTAGTGTAAAATTCAGAGTAGGTACTTAACACCTTTTATGCTATGAGAAAGGTATTTTAAAAGTTAAATAACCTTCGAGTGCATTGATTCGGATCGTGAAATAACCACGTTAAAGATGATGTTTACGAGGTATTGAGGTCAAAATATATTTTTTCTATAACTTATTTATTTCACGTAATTTATTTTTGTAATATATTTATATTAATCTATCAATGCGTTATATAAATATACCTACATACATTTTACTCACTAATATTTACTGTTAAACTTGTTTAGATACTCCTTTATAGGTTTACCAATATATACCGGTAACTTTTTAATTTATACACGATTTATTCTTTTTCGTCACCTGCAGAATAAATCTTGAAGTGTTTACTTATAAGTTATGGGTACCTACTTTAGGTATAATGATAATTTTATAGGAAAAAAAATAAGGGCCGAATGTTGTTTCACTACCTATATAATAATAATACAAATAATGAACTTTTTATTACAACAACAACATAAATAATACAAAAACTATACCTACTTGGCTGATATTGCTCAGCCGAGTGTATAGGTAGTTCATGTAAAAGTACCTAATCTCGTGCCGAGCTTATATTTTAAAATTATTCAAACATTTACCATGATCAATTTAACTCTATTCTTTTAATAAAGGTTGGTTCTTAATTACCTATTCAAATGTAAAAGTGCACATTTTACACATTTTTTATAACAATAGTTGGTCAAGATTTAAACTAGTATACCTTGATAACTTATAACAAGGGTTCAAAAATGTCCATTTTTACGATTAAGTAAATACAAATTATATAAGGTTAAGGTACCTATACAAATACCTACAATTTAGAAATTCATATTACGTATAATTTTTTTACTCCCAAAATCTCAAGATCAATACCAAAATATGTCAACCAGCACATTTACAAACGAATTCCTCGTTATAAAAATGTAGAGAACAAAAAACATACATTTTTCTTCTATAAAGATATAATAAAAATACAAATACATAACTATTACACTTTATTAAATACAATTATTACAGCTGTTTATTATTATATAGATTCAAACCATCCTTAAAATTGTTCATTAGGTACCTGGTAAAATATTATCGATTTTCATAGTATATAGATATATGCGTATAGCCACAATAAATGTTACTTTGGAGGAGGGGCTGATCATTTATTATATAAGAGACTAGTGGAAACTTAACTAGGATCATATGTTTGGTATGCTGACTTAGTGATGTCGTTGATATATAACATTTTAGACTTTTGCAGCAACCTTCATACAAAATACATTTTTAATACAAAATTCCACACGTCTTATATAATAACTTCACAGTACGTTGAAAACATTTTAAAATTTTACTGAAATTTCGAAGAGGCTAGAGCTGCCAACCCTCCTAGTGGCTATGCCACTAATAGGTATTATTATTTTAATAATAATTCATAAAATAGTGATAAAACTCAAGTAGGTACCTATACTTTAGAGCTCCCATAAACAATCTTTTGTAGCCGCTATGAACTCCTTTCGATTTTTATCAATTTAGCATTTACAATTTATTTGCAATATTTACTAAACGTCAAATTATTATAATAAAATAATAATAATTAATACCAATAGGCAATAACACTATTTACAATAATATTAATAAATATTATTAAAGTGGAGTTAAAAAATCATCTCTAAAATTAGTATTTTTCTATGAAATAAACAATATATTTTTACTAACGTGTCTTAATATGTTTAAAATTGATCAAAATTTCTATTCAATTTTATTTATTTTATTATCTATTTAATTGATACATAGGTGAGCATTTAATTCTATTAACTTATTTTTGTTAGATTTTATCTTTCCTAACATTAAAATTAGATCGGTTTGTCTGTATTGCAGAATAGGTACTCTTTGCAGTATAATATTATACCTATACGTTATAGATGTACAATGTGTCTGTACGTATAGTTAGTTTTTTAAGCGTTAAACAATAGGCAATTTGTCAATGTGTCATGACCGTGATTATTTTTTCAGATTTAAAACTAGTCATTCGACATAAATGAGACCAGTTGCAAAAAAATGCTATACCTAAATCAATTGTAGGTACATTTGTATATGGGTACCTACATATATAATATATATTATATTATTGCCTCGATACAACAAAAGTATAGATGACTGATATATACACATTATGACCTACATATAGACCAACACATTTGGGCTTTTGTATAACATATAACTACACAATATTTTTTCAAATAAATATATGTTGTTAATTATTAGTATTTTATATCTTGCTAAATCAAAGCACTTGCCTCAGTGACAAATATTCAAATATACAATTACAGTACTTATCTATAAGTGCTTTTTTGTTTATTATTTATAATTTATAAATTATCGGATCTATAGAAATTACAGAGGCTATCATATATTATTATAGTGCCCATACATTTAAAAGTTAACATATATAAAGTTATTTATGAAAATTGTAAACATTTTCAGTTTTTAACAATTAATATATATATATAATATTCATAAAAATATATAATAGTAGTTAACATTATAAAATTATAATAAATTATTTATTTATTTTATTTTATTTTATTGTTTAAACATAAACTATAGGTATGATTATTAACCAAATAATCAATAATTACAGTTTATATTATGAATACCATCTTAAGAGATCATAGGTAATAATTGTATAGGAAATTAAGATTAAAGACTTAGTACAAATGACATTATAATAGGTCAACTAATGGCCTTTGCTGTCGATGTTAACACTTTTTAGAGATCAATAAAATAAAAAATATATATCCATATATATTAATATTATATATAACATTAGATATATGAGCTTATGACTTATACATTTAAATAACAACAATTATTGATTTGTGATAGTAGGTAATAATAGAATATACTATAAAATATGAAATTGGCATCTCTATTCTATAACATACATTTTTTCTGCGATTTTAAATACTGTAGTAAAATAACATGTTATTTTATGTATATATATTTTAGTGCATTTATAATAAATTTTAAACTAAATAATAACTTAATCAAAATGAATATATGATTAATTTAGAATAATAATTATTAAATATTTAAGTATATAATTTGTCTAGTTATTAAAAAGTGTATATTTATATTTATTTCTAAGAATACATTGGTTTTACATGCCATTTCACGCTTCATAATTTGTATAGTATGTTTATTTTTTTTTGCTGAAAACTCTATAATATGTACGTATTATTGGTTGTTTGAAGTTCAATGATTTAAAACGGAAATTCATTGAATTGAAAAAACTTGATATGCGAATTAAATTTTTTTTAATGTGTAAAATATTGTATAACCTTACAATTATTAAGGATAATACAAAAAAAAAAAAAAATATTGTAATTCTAAGTTATTTCTAAATATTTAAATACGAGTTTATTTGTTATAATTTATAATACCTAATAATCAAATATTGAATGATACATAGGTAGTTATTTGTCTTTAAATGTACCTCAATCAATTATCATAATTCATCAGGTTACTATAATGTCAATAACGTCCTTAGGACTTACTGAATCTAAAATTATATCTTAAAATCAATACTTTCATTGCTCCACTTAGAATATAAAATTAAAAATAATATACCTAATAAAATATGATAGTACCTTTGCAAATTGTAATGAACAAAAATATTAAAGTTAGCAAGTCTTATTAATTCTTTGCTCTAATTTATATTTAACATGCGGAAAAAATAAACTATTATATGATTATAATAAAATATTGTAATTTTCATAATAGTTCTACTTATGAGAAATGAACGACGTGTGTCCTACATTATATTTATCTATACACAATTGGTAATTAAATATTCACATAGCTGGTATATAATTAAAATTTAAAGTTAATCAAAAATGTTATCAAATATTATATGTACCATGTTTTCACACGTTATACATGCAAACTATTATATTTTTAACCTCTATAAATTAACATAAGTTAAAGTGTATGACGAGTGGTCCTATCTAGTATCTATACTACTAGGTATTCATTTACTGTTTTGAAATACAAATTTACAATATTATTATACCTTGCAATTCGCATAATGTTTTATTTTAATTAAGTAGGGTTTTTAAATTTTATTAAGCGGATTATATCTACCTAACATAATTTGTTTTGTCATAATTTATAGTGCATTCATACATTTGTACCTATCAGGCTACCTACCTATATGTTAGTTTATCATGTAGTAAATATTTAAGTTATGCAAGTAGAAATATACCTATTAAATAATAAACATTTAATTTTTGTAATATATTATACTATATTAGTGTAATGTGTTAAGTATCTATCCAATCGTATTAATAGCAATTCTCTTCGTTTTTCTTGTTTATTCGTATATGATGATCGCTTGAAGAATGTTGTTTACCAACACTATTAAAATTATGTATTCAAACTTTATTACATCAATGGTGTATTAATATTGGAGGAATAGCTGGGCTTATAAATTTTCGGAATTACGTCTGCATAAATTTAATGTTGATATTAAAATATTATTTATTATAGGTATCTATAGTACCTCTACCTATATAGTTACTATACATATAAGTCCAGAGCGTGATATTATGATGACATAAAATACAATATGTTATTTTGAAGATCCTTCTATATTATACTGTTCTCAAGAGAAAAGAGTGCAAACGCTGTTATGGAAATTCAGTGGGGATGACAGAATGTCGCACAGGCCACTCAGGTTGTGATCAGTTTTCCTGACCAACAGTGTGTTGTGCGCGACCGAATGGGTCGTAGTATTTACGAACTATGTCTTATACCTCTGTGGTTTTACACGTTACGATAACATCGCAAAAAAATCGTAAGAATATTTTAAATGAGTTTATATAGTTAGTTATACCTAATATTGGAAGTGTTAAAAAAAATCATATACCTACCTAAACGATTTCGGTTACAATAGAATTTGAATAAAATGATTTTAAATTTCTTCAAGATTTTTTGTTTCACTATGGCAATAAAAGTAAGTTGATTAAATTGAAATAAAACGTAGTATAAAAATTAAAATAAGTACATTAAAAGTGTACGTAATATATATAGTTTGGACTTATACTTAATTGATTTCAAACATATTAATTACGATTAAATTTAAAACGTTTAGTAAAGTTGTATCTATTTATTAAAAATGTAATAAAAAAAATATGCATTTTATTAATATTAATTATTATAATATGAAAAATGGAACTACAGGAAACTTGGTTTTATATAAATATAAAATTCATTCTTATATGTATGATATACCTAGTCAATAATACGTTCCTATAGTGATTTTCTTATAATCTTATAATATGATATATTTATATATTATATATCATTATAAATTTATAATATATTATTTATTTATTTATTTATATAAATTAACGGGACAGGCTCTTATGAACATAATAATAGGTAATATTGTCTAAATGACAAACGCGTCATTAAAAACAGTCGTCTGCTGTCACATTTTGTAACGTTTGACTGTAAAAATATCTCTAATATACGTTCAAGAATTTAAACACGAATATATTAATTTAAACAATTGACTCATGAATTCATAAAATGATAATCTATAGTTTGATACAGTCATAGCCCATAGGCATATATGGTTGAATTATAATTTCGTTATAACAGGAAGCTCCTATAGAACTTGAGTTAAAAACCAACTGTTATAAACTGCAGGGCCAATTTTGAATACCGGTTAAAACCGTTAAAAACCGAAATCGATACCGAAACCGAAAAAAAAAATAATTTCGATTTCAAACCCTGTTTATAAAAAGTATTAGGGACTTTGTACCTGAATCTATTTTATATAGGTTTACATATCTATTTTACCTACCTATTTGTTAAATTATTGTCATTGCATATTAGGTACATTACTCATTATTAAATGTAATATTATCGACTAAATCAAAGTGTGTACATTTTTAAATGTGTAGGTATATCAATAAATATTTTATATAGATGCTGTTATGAATATATTAAAATGTTTATAAAAGGGTTATGTTGAAAATTAATTATTCTATGTGTGTTTTCATTGGCTAGAGAATTTGTCAAGTAGAATTTGTAGTGAAAGATTAGTGATAATGGAGGATTAATTATACAGATTTATAAGGACTAAGGATATTAGAGGATACAATTATTCTTATGACTTCTATATAGAAGAGATTATAAGAAGAGAATAAGAGATGGTATTCCATATAGTTATAGCCTTCAAGCACGAATGGATTTGTAGTAAGTACCTAACTATTCATGGTGGACAAAGGCATCTGCAGAGGCTGGTAGGTACCTACTACCTTCATATTTATACAATTTTAAACAAAATGACCCAATGTATAACTTGATCTTCAACAGATAGTAATGATAAATGGTAGGTAATTGTGAATAGAGCACTAATAATACAAAATAAATAAACTACATGTTATTTGACTTAATCAATTATTTGTTTGACACAATTTATTTTATAAGCAAGTATATTGACTTAAATTATATTTTTACTGGGTCTATACTAATCATAATTTTATAGGTACATTGGCTTATTGCAGTGCGTAGAACATATTTAAATAAATATCATAAATTCATATAACTATTAAAGTCATTACTATTGTGCACATTAAAAAAATTATTGATACACTTTCAACTAAGTACCTATATGATAATATATTTTAAAATGTTTTTATTTAAAATTATACTGTTCGAAAATAGTTATTGGGATAGATTAACTGTACGAAAATAGTGCTCGAAGTCAAAATATCCAACGAATAGAACAAGCGATATCCAAATTTAAAAATAATGTAATATTCTGTTTAATTAGAGAATATTAATAATAATTACCTACATTATTCTTTTTTATTTCACAAGTACTCAATTGCCAATATTATAAATTATAATAGTTACTACTTACTAAACCGGGTGACTTTTTTTCTTTTACTACTCATACATAATTTTGTATGTAACACACTAACGCATAACTAATCATCCAAGTACTAATAAAAAAAAAATACGGATAAATATTGCAAATGACAAAACAAAAAATGCCCAAAGAGAGACAGATCCACAACGTACGAAAAAAACTTAAAATACTTTTTCTTGAGTAACTTGATGGAAAAAAATATGTGGATATTTTTAAATTCAGTAGCAAATATTATAATAACACGGCAGTTTATTTTTTTGTAGTTTTCATTAAATAATGATATTATCAACAATTGTATTTGTTTGAAGAGAACAATATTGTTAAATATGTATAGGCTAAGAGTAAAAAAACATGAATATAATATTTGAAAAAAGAAGTCACCGCAGTGGTGACAGATTCAAATTTTCTTATTTAATATTAAAATGATCGCAATAATATATTATTTGAGACTACAACTATCGCATAGTTTATGCCTGGATGTTCGATTAGAGTTTCTCAGACTACATTATTACCTATATTATGTATTTATCTAAATAACAATAATCTAGCTGTCAATGGTTTAGCAGCTGGTGTAATGGTATCTATATCTTGTCGATTTTTCTAGTATATCAATCATTCATATATAAATTATTATTACATTTTTTTTAATTATATAGGTAACTACATGGTGTCGATTCGAGTTAAATTGAATTAGTCTTACAATAGTTAAATCTAATTACGATATATTTTCCATTCTTTAATTTCTATATCTACTTCTATTGATATAGTCTGTAATTGAATGTACCTACTTAAACACGCAGCTGCTATACCTATATTATAATAGTGAATATAATAATAGTGGTCAATGCAGTTGTACCATAAAATAAATATCTTTTAATCTTACATTCAGGTATTGTGAATCATAGACGGTAGACGAAGACTAGGACAAACTGGTAAACGTTATATTTTACTTTTTTTTTTGTCAAATTAAATTTCGACCAGACACTTGACGGTATCGTCTGTCGTCTGTCTCTGACCAGACACCATTCCTAACAAATAGATCAAACGTTGAAACGTGACAATGACGCGACAAAAATGCATTAGACATTGAATAGGTTGGCGGAAAACCACACATTTCTACAATCAATTATTATATATGTATTTATAGTCCATAGATATCATAATTGATCAAAATTATATTTCGTTAAATAATATAAAGGTTTTATACAATGTATTGATTTATTATGTATATTGTATATTATCGGTTTGGTGTTATTAGGTTTGACGCATGCGTTGGTTTATATTATGTTTAACTCTTAATAATTGGTGTTTTGGTGTTAACCGTAAAATAAGTTCCATATAATATCTTTTAGAATCCATGAAAACAGATCATATTAAGTAGTAGGTACCTATTATATTATAATATTTGTGCCCAACATATTACAAATGCATTGTTGTATTGTTAAAATATTATTCATAAAATTGATTCAAACTAAAAAAAAAAACACGATTTCGAATAGGCTAAAACTATATAACATTCTATGGGTGTAACGGCATAAGTTGGACGTCCGTGTATGAGCCATTTTCCAGTAAGACTTTCCCGCTAAAATACGGTATTACGTGAGAAATGTGAGAATGGTAATACACAGAGAAAGATTCTTATTATTCGATTTATGTTTGCTGAGTGACTGTGCACATGTGATGTTACAATGAATAACCATATTTTTTTTTGTGATACATAATAATATGTAAAGGCGTAAATAATCTCGTTTTCGAATAGGATAGTAAATAGCTAGGTAGTGTATTAAAGCATTAAACAGCTGTAATTTGGTTTTAAGTTTTCAAAAGTGTCTGCAACAGAAACTGATTAACTTATTCTTAAACATCGATTATGAATACGGCCCTTAGTTTTTAAAAAGATATTTATCTTACGAATATTTTTTTTTATTTATTTTATTAGTAATTAATAACAACAATTTTAATTATTATCATTTATTCGTTATTAGTTTATTACTATAACGATTTTACAGTTATCACAAAAATTGAAAAACTGTGTTCAAGAAAAGCATATTTATTTACACCAAGCCTGTACGATCCTACATGGCCACACGCTATTTATTAAAAAAAAATATTTATATAATTTTTATATAAATATATCAAAATCTTTTAGAGGTTTTGATAAATCATTGATACTTTTAACTTTTAAACTTTATTTATTCCACAAATTATTAAATATGAAATTCAATACTTGTGAAGATATTCATAGAACTAGAGAACAACCGACCTTTACTAGGTTACTAAGTTTAATTTTATGAAATACCTATTAATACGTATATAATATATATTTAGGTACTTCAACAACACAAGATATTTTTTTTATCATAAGATCATAAGTATCCATAGTTAATATACTATTTATGTATTATTTTATTAAGTTATTTATATAGGTTATTCTACAGCTTGATTTATTTAGAGGGTCTTCAATGTGTCACCTATTCTAATACATACATATAATAGTTACCTACTGCTTTTTGAAATTACAACACAAGGTAAAAATGTTTAAAAAAATCCATCGTTTATTCTATTGTTACATACTTTTACTTTTATAATTTTTATTAAACTCATTTGTTACTGCTATTTTCACAATTTTTTTATGTACTTATACTTGTCATACAAATTACAGTATCACACATATATAATATATTATATTTTTTTTGAAATACCACATATATTCATATATTATATTGTACGGTATTTACGTGTCTAACATTATTTTATTCTCTCAATCGTATTCACATTTCATTCTGAACGATATTTTTACTTATTATATACCTAGTTAATATTATTTTATTTGCTAATATTGATACTTTCGTTTAGATTTTTAACATGTACACAGAAAAATGTGACCTGAATAGACAGGACAATTGTTATTTACAATAAAATTAATGTATGTATAGTTAAACGTTTCTATATTACCTACCAAGAATAATATCGTTCGTAAAATAACTAATAAAGTCATTATTCTTACCATTTGATAGTGTCTAAGCGTGTATTAGTCATTAGGTATATGTCTTATGATTAAATATGATTGAACGCAGTAACTTATTTATTCAAAAAGGTGGTACATTCGAAATTCTGTTTCTTATAATAATTTTATAGAAGGTAATAACTGTATTTTTACCAATTCTAAGTATAAGTATCGATAATAATTAATAATAAATATTTTTTTAAATGATTATTCTTTAAAAACAATGTCGTGAAGACGTATAGTGGCTATAGGATATTTAGATTTTGGGTCCTTGAACAACATACACTGCTATGTGTACACTTTATTATTCTCCTAGATAAAAGTAAATCTTTAAGCATGGAGTTTTTTATTTAAATTTAGTAAAATAATATGTAGGTACTTATACTTTATAATATGTTCTTCAGTTATTGGAACTGTTTACAAACCTTTAAAAGTTTAATTAAATTTTTGAATTTGTTATTTATAGAATTTTCCTGGACGAACACTAGGAGTAAAATTAGGTGAAATGTGTTTATCTAATCAAGAATGTGACACAGGATTTAGCAGATGTCACCAGGAGTCTGGAATTTGTTCTTGTTTACCATACTACGCACGAGTGAACAATACATGTTTACAATGTAAGTTCCTTTTTATATGATTGGTTGCTAGTTTATTTAAAATACTATTACATTTTAACTTGTTAATAACTAAGATATTAATTAATTACCTAATAAAGACATGAAGAAATCAAAATTCACAATACCTACCATTCATATTATTGCAACATTGCATATAGTATTTAATGAATTTATATTTCAAATTGTGAACTCATGGGCCAACACACGAACATGTTCAGTGGGGCCCATTATCTTCTTGAAGAATAAATAATAAAAAAAAAAAAACCAGTATTTTGTACCTATACAAACGACTACAGTTAAATTCTACTTAAATAAAATTAGAACATTCAATTACATTTATAGGAATTATTAGAGCTTATTTTCTTTTGGTATTTCATGACAAGTCCAAATAGTAAGTCAAATATTTTTATACAATATTTAGTTCTTAAGTTTTTTAAATTATCACCAAGGTAAAAAAAAACTTTGGTTATTTTTAAGTTACATTAAAAAATGTATCTGCACAAACGAACATTTTAAAATCTATTGCATTAAATTGAAATAACCAGAAACAAAATTAGTGATTAGCTACTTAGATTAAATTCTAGAAGTTGGATGAATTTAAATTTTCAAACTAATTATGCTAGTCATTTACCTTTATATTATTTTAATAATGTCTATTATTACAATTACTTGTTGAAAACATAATTTCAGTATCAAATATTGTAATAACATTAATGGAATTTTAATATCTTAAATAATTTGTGTAAATATAAGATGTCAATAAAAAATATAATCAAAGTTGAGAGCGTGCTTAAGTGGAAAACTGAAAATTAAAAATGGTCTACCTTAAAATATCTACCTTTGCACTGTATACAATATTTCAGTTTCAGAAGTATTCCGTATTAATATATACATATCAATTATTATACTTTGTAAATTATATTTATTAGTATCGTTAAGTTTTATAGGTTCAGATGATAAAATCTGGAACAGGAACATATACTTATTGTTCAGAAGTAATAAAATCTAGTATTGTTCGTTATATCATGGCGCCTTTCATAAAAGCCTCAGGCACAATATCCTTGTCGGATAATTAAATTATTATTATATACTATTGAATCATATATATATGTATGTACCTACGATACGTTACGAATTATTTGGAAGACCTAATTTCTATTATGTTATCCAAAAGTAGTCCAATTAAAAAAAAAAAGTTTTCGCTATTGATTTTAATTTAATACTTTTGAATTTACAGCTACACTTTTAGGATTTGAGTGTGTTGTGGATGAGCAATGTTCATTGAAAGTAGCTAATAGTAGATGCCTAAATAATGTATGCGAGTGCGAATCGAAGTTTTGGCAGTATCGAAGACATACATGTTTATCTCGTAAGTAAAATTATTCAACAAATTAATATAATAATGCAACCGTGTGATAAGTGCGAATACAAAATACATTATATTCATATCTAATATAAGATATTCTGGATAGCTAATGCCCATTGTCATTGACTATGAATACTAGTATTATGCTGGGTTGCATGAACAATTTATTAAATTTAATGGACCAATCGTGGGCCACTAAATCTTGTTAAGGCACCATTAGCTCACTATTGATTCATTAAATGTTTTATGCAACCGGGCATTAGTATATTAATACTAGACAGAGTATTCATAACCAATGCTTTTATATTTTATATTAATGTAAATATTGTAATTAAATATAGTATAATATTATATTGTATGTTACGGAAAATGTGGAATAGGTATATTTCAATATTTGTTATGTATTCTGCAATTTGGTCCCACCCAGAAAAATTGAATAGTCAATACAGACAAAATATTTTTTATTCAATTTATTATTACTTTTAAATATAAATCTAATATTGACGGATGACCGATGCTCTGCTTGAACGCGGCTTTGCAAAACAAATAAATGAAAGCGTAGGAAAGCAGACAGACTTTGAAAAATTTAATTGTGATTCTAGTAAATAATATAGGAATGGGTAAAATAAATACTTCGAAATAAATTGGTACCTAATAATAAAATTCTAAGCAATCTTAGTAGGTATAATAACTTATTTATTAGTTTTGTATTTTTTGCCATCAATATTTTTGGTAATCATTATCATTACTTATTATAACTGTTTTAAAATTTTCAGAATATGATATTAAATTAATTAATTTTGTTTTGTTTTTTCCATCACTATTTTTTCTTCTTTTTTTTACTTAATTAATAAAATACACAATCTGTACACAATAAGACACAATACGAGTATGGCTATAATACAAAAAGAAGAAAATCTTGAATGAAGAAGCCACCCACTGATGACACTTTCGTCTTTTATTCACTATTATATAATTATTATTTATTAGTACCTAATAATAAATGTAATAAAAAATATTGCAGAAAAACAATTTTTTTGTATTCGTGGTTAAAATTACCCAGTATTCCGTACCTATAATGTCCTAATATATAATATTATATCCATACATGTTTGGTTATTTAGTTCATTCTAATATTTATGTCTTATACTCTTTTTTACTAATACTAATTGGTAATTTATTATAAAATTATAATACAGAATATCTTAAATACATTTAGCTGCGTCATTAAAATGTATGTGAATATTATTGGACAAAAAAGGTTATAATTTAAACTTAAAAATACAAATAAATGGATAATAATATTGACTTAACTGAGTAAATGTACATAAGCATTATAAACTATATGGTTAAATGTGAGAAATAAAAACTAAAACATATTCGTTAACACATATACGTCTGTGTGAATATGGGACCATAATATATTTATCTATTATCATTATCATGCGAGAGATATAATATACCCAATGGATTAAGCTGTATAATAATATTTTAGACAGGTATTTATGATACATTGTTAAAATTCAATTTCGATTACGACGGGCAATTCCATTCTTTCAGTATTCGTATGGAGCTTAATTAATAATTACGTGAGTCATTTTAAAACAATAAAGATTAACATATTATTATAAACGTTGCGGTTCCAATATAGGTTCCCATCATACTGTAAATATAGAAATAATTCATTTGCGTGAAAAACGTACACTACGATTTTCCTGATCCTTTGGTTCATTGACGTCGTTCATTAACATACAGCCATACAGAAACCCGTTAGTTTTCATTTATGACGCTTTCATAATACATAACAGATTGTAGATCCATGTCAAGAAAAAAAAAAAATAATAATAACACTCAAACGTTCCAGGTGTGTAATATATACATTATACATACACGCGTACGTATACGGATTATTGGAGGTCATTGTTGTAGAGTACCTATTACGTGAGACTTTATATTGTTCTTGATAGCCGTATGTGCATAGGTAGGTAGTTATTCCATTACACGTGAAGGGATTTAAATTATTATATTTTTATTGAATGGAAAACGCCTATACGTCTATAGACCAACATTTTTTCGCTACAAATTTAAATTCAAAGTGCAATAAACTCTTATTAGTATATAGTCTGCTGAAAAATATATTTACAGCTTAAACCATCAGTATATTATGTATAATACAATTTGGTTCGCCAGATTCTATTATATCGATTTAAAAAAAAAAATTCCTAGTCGATATGGTTCAGATTAGAGGAATGCTATTGTGGGACATCCCGCTTGGACCATATTTTAGATGTATTTTCCATATTAAACACCGTACGATTTAACTATAAGAGTTAGTTGTATACGAAAAAAAACTATATATACCTACCTAAACGTTATTGAGTTATTCAATAGTCAATAAGAGAACCAATTATATTATTGATAACGTATTACATCATTATTCTGGATATTATTTTCTTATGTACCTAGGTACTATTATATTATTATATTACTAGGTACTATTATATTATATAGTTTATATGTTTATTTATTATGTCTATATATTTTTGTATTTTTGTACTCGAAAAGAAAAATAATCAAAATAAATACTTAAATTCAACATTAACCTATTTTTCAGCCTTATTAATGAACACTGCATGTAAAAATATTGTGTTAAAATTTGAAATCGCATCTATAAAAAAATATGAACAAAACAGCATATTAAAATGTCTGTGGCTAATAAAATTCCATAGAATAAACCAATAAGTTATTTTTCCCTATTGGGCCTATTCATTTTCTTTACATTTCACTTATATAACTAATTATATTTTTAATATTTAACCAAACTTAAATAAATGGTATTAATAAAAAAATATATAAGTATTTATAAATAAGTGTAAAGTATTGATATAAAAAATGCATGACTTAAATAATGTATATATTATTATTTAAAGTTATCAATAAATTAAAATGTTTGATTATTCAGTACAATTAAAATAACATTAAGTAATGTAATTTGTTGTCATACTATATTATTATATTGTCTTAATATTATTTCACGCAGTTAATATTTTTTACAGCTGCCAAACTGGGAGAAGTGTGTTATAGTGACACTCATTGTGCACTGTCGAATGAAAATAACCGATGCCAGTTCACTATGCCTGGTGTGTTTGGATTTTGTATTTGTGATCCTGCTTCCCCGGACTGTATATACAAAGGACAAGATTCGATTTTGATTAAACCTAATAGTTCAGCATTCAAATACCCATTTAGTAAACCAGATCTGAAGAAAAAATTTCCATACCAAAAACGACCTTGGCAAACGGATGATCTGCTACTCACGACGACTACCTCAACAATTAAACCATTACGACCAATGAATAAACCACAAATGCCTCCTCTAAAACGGCCCATTATAAAAACAAATTTAACGAATAATGGTATAAAATTTACTGCCGTTCCGGTGACGAACACTCAGTCATCTGTAATTTCTCTCAACTACACAACACTTGCATCGAAGAACATAACATTTAAACCTCAATTTGCTATAGTGCCCACGCCGTCACCAATAAAAATTTACTTAAAAAGTCCATTGAAAGATTCACAAAATAAAAGCCAAACAATTGTCAACGACTCATCTATAAAAGTGCATAAGAAACCAATTAGTAATACAGGTAATTCTGGACCCCGAATTTTATTTGTATATAAATCATGTATAACCTATGAGTATACTAAATATGGAAATTCAAGTATTTTTTAAAAATAATAAAATATCTTTTTTTGTGTAATCATAGGTATTATGTTAAGAAAGGGAGAACCCAAACGACGCATTAGTCTTGGATTTCCGTGTGTTAGCGATGCACAGTGTATGCGAAATGATGAAAACTCCAGATGCCTACATGGAATTTGTGATTGCCTACCAAACAATAAGACAATCGATCAGTGTACAGCGAAAACTCGAGGTTGTTTACAGAATACATTCCAAGTAAATAAATTTGATAAAAATACGGCAAATTGGCATTGTTAATACAATAATATTTATTTATTATAAACCTTGTTATATAAATATACCTAAATGGCTTAAAAGATCTAAATAATTAAAATGGCGATAATGTAATTAATGCTATTTTTCAGTGCCGATCTAGTGGTAAATGCATAAGTTGGTTCTTTGTATGCGATGGCCGAACAGGTGACTGTGGGGAAGACGACAATTCGGACGAAGAATGTTCGGGTAATCAGCAATGTCCAAGTACCACGTTTGCTTGTCGGTCTGGCAAAGGCCCCAGGAATTTATGCGTTTCTAGATCAACGAGATGCGATGGTGTGAAAAACTGTCCACTCGGAGATGACGAAGAGGGCTGCAACGCCGTTGAACATAAAGGTAAGAAAATTATAGGTACTAACTAACGATTTACAATTTTGCACTGTAGTAGGTACAATATAAGAAACGTATCATTATTTTTACACTTTATTTACCGCTTATACACACACAAGGCACACAATATAAGACGTACGTGTACCGTATACGATTAAGGCGTACCAACATATTATTCATTTAATAATTACATTACTTTACTTACTGTATGTAGGAAATAGCAACGTAACTTGAAAAGCAACCATCGTTTAATTTTCTGCTGGGAAGAGTAAATCCAGATTGGAAAAATGTGTACATAAATACAGAACAAGTAGGTAATGCTCTGCCGTATAGTAGATTTCAAGTTCATTTCGACCTCGTCATTGAGTACCTACTTAGGCCACAGTAAATACCTAATGGACGTGTTATATTTTAGTTCAATAGTAAATAATTGTATAATATACAATTCATATCATATTATGATGAAAAATTATTATGGGCGGAAACGGTTGGTCAACAAAATGATTTGGAGGAATTTAGTCAGAATTTGAAATTCAACGCTTACACTTCATAAAAAATTAATGTAGGTTTAACTTTTTTTTTTTAAATTCTTGTAAGAAAAAATCATGACAATTTTCAATAACTTTTTAAAATCTTGGGTAAAAAAATAAAAAATAATATGAGCCTACTTAAATTAAAGTTTGAAAATGTTCACGATTTCGACAAATTCTGTCAACGACTCTGACTCCCTTAAGGTAAAAGTGTATCATTATTATATTCATAAAAATATATAAAGACAAAACCGTGCCATTTAATTTATTCATTTTATATAATCATGTAATATTTCCATATACGCCTAATACCTACTGACTGTACTGAAACTATCAGTCGCAAGTTGGATTTCGTCCCTAGGTGGCTTATATAGGTTAAAAATACTAAATAAATACAAGTGATAAGTATGACTACCTATTGCAGTGTACATAAAGTATAAGTATAAGTACGCTGGACAACGAACAATTATTAATGGTAATATTACGTGTGCATTACGTCTCTACAGGGTGCCCGGCGTATACCTTCCAGTGCGGCGACGGTCAGTGTCTACCCGAGTACGAGTTGTGCAACGCCGTGGTGACGTGCGCTGACAAATCGGACGAGTTGGAAGGCCTGTGCGGCGGCGGCGCACCGATGACCGTTGGCAACAGGACATCCGCCTCGCGTCCCCCGCAGCCGTTGACCCGCGTCCGTGGCGCCTACCGGCACAGCCCGGCCGAATGCCCTTTCCGGTGTAGGAATGGCCGGTGTCGATCGACCGCCGTACTATGTTCCGGTCGGGACGGATGTGGCGACGGGTCGGACGAATCGGGCTGTTCTGTTTGCAGTAAGTGCCCAAAATATTATTATAGTAACCTCATAGGTAGGTACTGTATATAAGTATATTACCGTACCAGTAATTAGGTGTGTTGTTTGGGTAGGTAGGTAGTTACAGGTAGGAAGTTGGGCGATATAGGCGGCCTGCAGGTGGGTAATCCACTAACGTTATAATATTATAATAACGCTGTAATGTCGCCAAAGTATATGCTATTATTATACCTATCGAGTCGCGGAGGAGTGAAGAATATTCCAACTAACGGTAACCGTGTCTAAGTGATGCTCCGACCGCGCCGACAAACTGCAGCGGCAGACGAACTGCGATTGTAGCCCGATAGGTGTTTGTCGTTAAACGAAATTAGGACACGTCGCTGCGTTATGTCTACACCAAAATCGTATAATATTTAATCGTAATTAAGTCTTAGCATCTGCTGCAGTGGGACGTCTTCTATTGATTCACGCCTAAACGTTATGCTGATGAGATTTATAATACTAAACCTGAGTCCTGCAGTATTGATTTAATAGAATATTCGAATTCACGATTCAAGTCAAATTTGAAATGATAAAAAAATATTTTAGAATGAGTTGATTTGACCTAAAATTTATGAGGATTACAGAGTAGGTACTCTGGTACTCATGTAGAAAAATGTACAAAGTTCTAAGGAATTATACATTGGTGCAAATATATGCCAAGTAACCTTTCATATGGGTACATTTTCTCTAGTTGTAACAATTATTGGAACTGTATACACCTATAAATTATAATAGAGCTGTGATAAATAAAAATTAGAAATTATAGTTATAATTAAAATGCGCTAATAAATTTTATAATTGTGGCTTGGTGTGGCGCAGTGCGTGCACACAACTTCGGAAACGCACTGAGTGTACGTAACGACCTGCGTTGCTAATTCCCGGATGGGTGACCACCTGGGATTTTTAGCAACGAATCCTTGCCACACATACAAAACGTGTTTTCAACCTTCCTCCCCTACAAACAACCTACAAACAAACAAAACAGCTAATGGCCTAAGTTGCCGTTCAAGCTCAATTAAAAAAAATTGTCGGGTGGTATAAGTCAGGGGGGAGTTGTCCTTGAAGGTTTATGAATGTATTCCAGTATTTCCAAGTTAATGTGTTAGGAATACTACAGGAACCTGTAAATGGTGAAAATAATATGTATAGGTGACTGATGTATCATCTTATTATACCTTGACGCACAGTCCTCAGCACGTTAAATCATTTGAAACCTGGTGACGAAGTTCACCGGACTAGAAGTGACAGATCCACGGACACCATTATGGAGCATACTAATATAGGTACTTACGAATAAGACTTTTCGTAGAAATTCGTCCCAATGTCGCATTACACAGGACATCACTATAACAGTCATCCGTGGTGTGCAAACGGTTAGATCGATAATCGAACGAGCCGGCGACCATATATTTTTCTTGACTGACCACCAACGGGGAATTTTACGATTTTCCGAAACAAGAGTATAAAATGGCATATTATGAATCGTGGTCGTAACGGTTACGCCGGTTACGGGACGTAAGTACAGAATTTGACATTTGTACTATAGCGTACATGGTAGACCACGGTATAAAATGCCTGTTACCATACCGCGATTACCCAAATATTAAGGGAGGTGGTACCTATAAACTTTCTCATGGTTTTAAAATGGACGTTCAGTATATAATTGTGTTTAATTAAAATAATTAATATCAACGCTGTTTGAATATTAAATAATTTAAGTAATTAGTAAACGAAAAGGATAATATTATAATATATTGTATTATATCTAATATCTATACGACTATACCTTATACCTAACTTAGGTATAAATGTAACATAGTAAAACAACTCTCGTGAGAGGTAACGGTTATCGCACTTGTCGCAGTAGGTAGGTATAGCTGAAGTTCTTTGACTTCGTGAAATCCAAGATTTTAGTTCTATCTTCTGTGATTGAGATGGATTAAATAAAATGGGTGATATTAAAGTAGGTAATTTTATTTAAATATTATGCATCATTACCCATAAAGTGACATTTGGGACTTCTTGCGTGACTAAATTAGTCGAGACAACCAAACAGGTTCATGTTCTATTTTTTTTACTCACGGTATATTGTTTTGTTTTGAGTGCACTCTAAATGGTTTCATTGTGTGTTTGAGCTTCTTATTACATATGTGATATTATATTGTCACAATGTCACTTGTAAATGGTTATTTTCTCAACGTTCACTTACAACTACCTAAAAATGTAGGTGGTAACCTGACGTAAAATATTTTTCTTTATATCCACATCAAAACGTAGAAACCAATTCGTCACAAATATATTATAGTTTACTTAAAAATAATTTTAGGTTATAGATAGGTACTTATAGTTACTAATTTATATTAGGTGCTATTATATTAATGCTTATATATTAAATATTTGTACTTTATGTCAAATTTTAACTACCTACAAATCAATAATTATTTATTTTTATTTATTTATTATTATGGAACGGGAAGAGCCCAATAAAAATTTAGATATTAATCTTAAGGGGATTCGATACCTTGATTTTCTGTTTTTGTCTAACACACGCGTGGCATAGTATTTTAGATGTGTTTTTTGCCAAACATACCAATTGATCTAATGAAGCGATAAGAATTCTGAAAATAGATTTGAATTTGTCGTCAAGTCTACTTGAAATCGACTTTCCCACATTTTTGATATTATCCCCCAATTTTTTTAAAATGTCATATTCAAAAAGAGTATTTAAAAATTCTGTTATTTCAATTTTTGGAGAAGTTAAAATCAAAAAATCAAAAATGTGGGGAAGTCGATTTCAAGTAGACTTGACGACAAATTCAAATCTGTTTTCAGAAATATTATCGCTTTAATAGATCAATTGGAATGTTTGGCAAAAAACACATCTAAAATACTGTCACGCGTGTGTTAGACAAAAACAGAAAATCACGGTATCGAATCCCCTTAAAGCTAAAGTACGTAACAGTATAAATTATAAAAACAAAAATAAAGTGATAAAAATTACATAAATAGGAACTGGTTTAGTCCCCCAATAGAAACGACGAAATAAAGTTGATATAATTTTCGATATTGAAGAACACATACAAATAATAATACTCCTTGCTTATATTTTGTATATTATGATGTCATTCATGCCAGTTACCTACATAATTAGTCCACTAGGTACCTATCTAACTCTAAACATTTATTATAGTTTATACTTTATAGTAATATATATGATCACAATGAAAATTAAATATTTTTTATTTCATTAGATCATGAAATATTTTATCGGTTATCATTATGAGACTAATGATAATGAATATCTTATAATATAAAAATTAATCGTTGAATGTGTTGCAAAGCGCAAATCTCGAGGGCAGCTGAACCGATTTGGCTCAAATTTTTTTTAAGATGTTTGTAATTACCAGTAGAAAGTTTTTACGAAAGAAAATTTTAAGAAAATCTACCGGAAACGTAGGAAATCAGGATATAAAAAATACAAGAGTGGTGCAATATAAATATATCTTTATATATATAATTTTACTGTATGGTGTACTGTGTTGTGACTGAACTCCTCCTAAACGGTTGGACCGATTTGAATGAATTTTTTGTATGTGTTCGGGTGACGCCCGGGATAATCTAAATTCACAAATCACCACCCTATAGGTCCAACCAGGGGTTGTGCTCAAACGCGGATTTAGAGATTTACGGTGTAAATTTTTGTTTATAAATGGTTGCCATGGGTTTTGAAGCTATTATAATAATAATTATTGGTTGCTGTGAAATCAGTGTATTCATTCAATGAATTTAATTTTTTGTACACTGTGTTTTGATATTGTATGTATCGAAATTACGTAAATATTGAGAGTATTATACTCACATATAAGTTACGTACATAAAACAATGCCACGTCTTCGTGGATGAGGAGGAATTATTGGTCAGACAGTCAGACTCGGTAATCAAAATTAGTCCAGCCGTTTAGCAGGAGTTCAGTGACATACTTGGTATAACTTTGATACTTAAGAGTTAAATTGTAAAGGGTTAAACGGAATTACCTGATAATATACTGCTGCAAATCAGAATTTTTATCCCAGACAACAGAAGAGTTAAGGTAAATTTTGAACACCATATTAAAATAATGAATATTAAATAACGAATTGAACAAAGTTTGAGTCATATAGAATTGGTACATTTAACGGGAAACGAAGTGCACGAGATCAGCTAGTATAGTTATATAGATGTGCAAAATTTGAGTAGTTATATTATTTATAAAAACTAATTTAGTTACCTATTGTATTTTTGATGTTTTAGAATGTCCTGCAGTTTCATAAAAATATATTGAAGTTCTTATTTTAAGAAGATTATGGCATTAAGCAGTTCTACCATTACGACGCTCATCAGTACATTCACCATTCACTTATACTTTATGCCGTATACTATAATATTAAGTACCTTTACATAATGGAATACAATACAAGAGTAATTTTGTACATATATTATTAATTATTATAATGTATCTTTATATTTGAAACAAAAAAAATATTTGTATTTTGTTTATTAGATAAGAACCTACATCAAATTATAACTTGATGTGTTATTAATTATTTTCTTATTATTATACACTTATATATTATCATTATTATTCTTTTTATATTACTTGTATTAAATAATAAATAATTTATTTTTATAGCAAACTTACTTATGGTAGGTATTTAATATACCTGATGGCTGATTTACTATAATAGGTAACTTATATTCTGTCAGTTCGTTATTTAATCAGGCGTATAAATGTATACTTAATATTACATACGTATAACTAAATAATAATAAACCTACTATTCCTATACAATTAACCATGGTGTTACATTTTTTAGTTGGTATGAATGAGCACAAAATTCTAAGGGATGTGCTAAAGAATTTTCAAGAGAAGGATGGATTAGATTCGTTAGAGAATTTTTTTTTTCATTTAGAAAATTGGCTTCTAACAGATTAACGGCGTAAAGGATTAATAATATAATAATATATTAATAATTAATATAAGCACGAATGCTTGCCAGTTAAATAGGCGCAATTTCGATAAAAAAAAAGGTGCTCTGCTGTACAGTAAGTTACAAGTGGGTCATTGTATAATGGATGGTATTAAATTTGAATTCAATGATATAATATCATTGTATAAGAAAAACGATTCTGAGCGGAGACTGTATGTCAGTCTAGGTATAAGACATATTATATGCTTATCTAAGGTATTCAAAAAAAAAAAGGTGGGTAAGTGGATGTCGCTCTGCTGTACAGTAGGTTACAAGTGGGTCACTGTATAATGGATGCTTTTAAATTTGAATTCAATGATACAATATCATTGTATAAGAAAAACGATTCTGAGCGAAGACGGTATGTCAGTCTAGGTTTAAGACAAATTATATACATATCTATGGTATTAAAAAAAAAATTGACTTATAATAAATTCCAAATTAATCATATCACATTATCACAATATCCATTAGGTACTTATAACATGTTATACATCAACATCAATAACAAACCCTGATACTATCATAGATATATAATAGTACACTTTAGAAGTTTCAAGTAGGTACCCCGTACCCACGAATAATATTATATAATCACAACAAAATAACTAGGTTTTTTAATATGAAATTTCGTCCAAATTTGAACATAAAATGACTATAAAAATAAACTGTGATTGTATATTTTTTAGATTTTTCGGTAAGAGAATTAACTACTTACGTAGAATCTTGTTTTAAATTTTCAATCCTTAGCTATAAAAACTGAACATTTTATAATTTATTAATTACGATGATTAATAATTTTCGAGATTTTGAAAAATTCTGTCAAAATTCGATGTTAAAATGCTTATAAAAAAATTGTGCCTATGTATTTTTAATATTTTTCAACTGATATTGTAACAATATATCAGGAGCCTTGTATTAAATTTTTACACTTTTTGGCCCAACAGATAAAACTTAATTGATATTTATAGAAAAAAAAACTAAAAAAATTGAAAACTGAAAATGTCCGTAAACGGCTCAAAAAGTCAAAATATTTTCAAAATTGTATGGTGTATAGGAAATGCTAATATAAACTTCAGTGAAATTTTCATGTATCTACAGTAATTCGTTTTTTAATTACAACAAAAAAAGGAAATTGCCACATGAGAAATCGAGTGAATATCCAATGTTGTAAAAATTTGAATTTCAAACGCTCATAAAAATTTAATTTGACTGTCCGGTAGAGATTTTTTTATTGATAAAGGTAGACAATCTTATGAGTAATCTTGTATTAGATTTTCAAATCTTAAATTTATAACTAGGAAAAATTTTTACGAATTCTTAACTCAAAATAATTTGCTAATTTTCGTGATTTTTCCATATTTTGTCAATTTTTGAACTTTAAATGCTTATAAAAAAAAATTGTGACTAAGGATTTTTAATATTTTTCATCTGCCTTTGAAACAATATATTAGGAGCCTTCTATTAAATTTTCAAGCTTTCGCAACCAACAAATAAAATTTTATTGATTTTTCTAGAAAAAAAACTAAAAAAAAACGAAAAATTAAAATGTCCCTAAACTGTTCAAAATAAATCAAAATATTTTGAAAATGTTATCGTGTATAGAAGATGCAAATATAAACAACCAGTGAAAATTTCATGTATCTACGGTCATTTGTTTTAAAGTTACACCAAAAACCAGAATCGATTTTTTGGAAAACCGATTTTGCGTAAAAATTCCCGTTTTTCCTTAATTTTTAGATTCTGAGTGAAACGATGAATGTATTGATTTTACAATGATGTGTGTTTTTTTTTTTATTTTTTTTTTATTTTTTTTGTGTCTGTGTACACGATAAGTAGTCGAAATAATGCTTCGATTTTCGACTTCAGTATCTTGTTCGATTGGAAAGTGAATATCGTTGGTGCATTGGGGAGGTCAAAATTTAAATTTCCCAGTAGTTTTCAAAAGCGCTGGGAAAAAACAAAAGAAAAATTAAGGAAAAACGGGAATTTTTACGCAAAATCGATTTTTCAGAAAATTGAATTTGGTTTTTGGTGTAACTTTAAAACAAATGACCGTAGGCACATGCAATTTTCACTGGTTGTTTATATTTGCATCTTCTATACACGATAACATTTTCAAAATATTTTGATTTATTTTGAACAGTTTAGGGACATTTTCATTTTTAGTTTTTTTTTAGTTTTTTTTCTAGAAATATCAATAACATTTTATTTGTTGGTTGCGAAAGCTTGAAAATTTAATAGAAGGCTCCTAATATATTGTTTCAAAGGCAGATGAAAAATATTAAAAATCCTTAGTCACAATTTTTTTTTATAAGCATTTAAAGTTCAAAAATTGACAAAATATGGAAAAATCACGAAAATTAGCAAATTATTTTGAGTTAAGAATTCGTAAAAATTTTTCTTTTTAAATCTAAGATTTGAAAATCTAATACAAGATTACTCATAAGATTGTCTACCTTTATCAATAAAAAAATCTCTACAGGAAAGTCAAATTAAATTTTTATGAGCGTTTGAAATTCAAATTTTTACAACATTGGATATTCACTCGATTTCTCATGTGGCAATTTCCTTTTTTTGTTGTAATTAAAAAACGAATTACTGTAGATACATGAAAATTTCACTGAATGTTTATATTAGCATTTCCTATACACCATACAATTTTGAAAATATTTTGACTCTTTTTGAGCCGTTTACGGACATTTTCAGTTTTCAATTTTTTTAGTTTTTTTTTTTCTATAAATATCAATAAAGTTTTATTTGTTGGGCCAAAAAGTGTAAAAATTTAATACAAGGCTCCTGATAATATATTGTTACAATATCAGTTGAAAAATATTAAAAATACATAGGCACAATTTTTTTTTATAAGCATTTTAACATCGAATTTTGACAGAATTTTTCAAAATCTCGAAAATTATTAATCATCGTAATTAATAAATTATAAAATGTTCAGTTTTTATAGCTAAGGATTGAAAATTTAAAACAAGATTCCACGTAAGTATTTAATTCTCTTACCGAAAAATCTAAAAAATATACAATCACAGTTTATTTTTATAGTCATTTTATGTTCAAATTTGGACGAAATTACATATTAAAAAACCTAGTTATTTTGTTGTGATTATATAATATTATTCGTGGGTACTTGAAACTTCTAAAGTGTACTATTATATATATATGATAGTATCAGCGTTTGTTGTTGGTGTATAACGTGTTATAAGTACCTAATGGATATTGTGATATGATTAATTTGGAATTTATTTTAGGTCAATTTTTTTTTTAATACCATAGATATGTATATAATTTGTCTTAAACCTAGACTGGTATACCGTCTTCGCTCAGAATCGTTTTTCTTATACAATGATATTGTATCATTGAATTCAAATTTAATAGCATCAATTATACAGTGACCCACTTGTAACCTACTGTACAGCAGAGCGACATCCACTTACCCACCTTTTTTATGTTGTTTTTCCCGGCGCTCTTGAAAACTACTGGGAAATTTAAATTTTGACCTCCCCAATGCACCAACGATATTCACTTTCCAATCGAACAAGATACTGAAGTCGAAAATCGAAGCATTATTTCGACTACTTATCGTGTACACAGACACAAAAAAAATAAATAAAAAAATAAATATAAAAACACACATCATTGTAAAGTCAATACATTCATCGTTTCACTCAGAATCTAAAAAATTGTTAATTTATCATGCGATATTGGACGATTGGAATACGATATCAAAAATCGGATTCTTTACGATTGTTAAAAAAATTCTCCTCTACAATTTTTATAATAGGTATTTTTATTGCAAACCGCTTCAATAAGCCGTATTACACTATTACCTACTTGAAGAACAAAAGTATAGTTTTTATTTGTATAAAATTCGGATACGAATACAAAATATAAAATCGAACCAAATTAAATATTATTTGTCACAAATATAATAATCATTTTCTTATCTGGTTATTTATAAACTATGCACTGGCGGTCGGCTGCGATAGAGAACCGGTTTTGACCTAGGTGCGGTACCGCCGTTAATGCGCGCGGGGTGGTGGTATGCACAGCTAGTATCGAACGCTGCCACTGACTACGGGCGCAGCACTTGCCGAGCGTAATTTTCTGCAGTTTTCTTATAAAACATACTTTGCGAGTTCCAATAATATGGGTTACTGAGTGGTTTAATCGTAAAAACACCTATGAACAAAATTGTAGAGGAGAATTTTATCTGGTTCCGTAAGAAGCCCGATTTTTGATATCTTTAAAACATCATGAAATATATCATGATTAATAATACACTTTTTTTTCATTTTCCGGAAGTTAATTTTAGGACTTAGAAATGAAAATTTCAAAAATCGGGCTTCTTACGGAACCAGATAAAATTCTCCTCTACAATTTTGTTCATAGGTGTTTTTATGATAAAACCACTCAGTAACCCATATTATTGGAACGCGCAAACATGTTTTTAAAGGAATTTTTCGAGTGATTTTTTTGGGTGACACGTCCTACTTGTTGGTCTGACGTTTGCTTAACTTTGTAATCAGCTCTGATAAGATTGAATATTAGACTCGCTTGATATATTTTGATACACATGATACACAAAGGTCAAAAGTTAAATTTAAAAATAAAGATTTAATAAAGATTAAACAATTTACTTGTTGAGTCGATAAAGTTATACATTTGGGCTTGCAAACGTAATAAACGCTTTAGTTAGATAGATCATCGAAGAATGTCCATTCCGTGGAACTAGAGTGGCACCTATATAAAGAGACATACTGCAACAAGAACAAAGAGAGGACTAGCCGCGGGCTGTCGGACCGTGCCGCTATGGGGCCGATCCCCATAGCGATCACCCATCTGCGGTGACCGGGCCACGTTCTTGTCGGGCCGCGACAACGGCTTAGGGTGGTGTACAACAACATAATATGCTGCTGAACGCGAATCGGCCGGTGGAGCAAGAGGATGCGAGTTCGAAAATACATTGGCACGATTTTTATAAGAATTTAAAGTTCAAAATATATTGACCAAGTTTATCAATTAAGTTAATCAAAGTTCAATTTTTATAGCAAAGGATTGAAAATATAAAACAAGATTCCCCGTAAGGCATAATTAGTTAACTCTGTAAACAAAAAATAAATGAACATTGTTTTTTAGTTTAAAATTTGACGAAATTATATATTATTAAATAACCACAAATAACGGTTTTATTTATTTTCTTGTTATTTAAAAATTTTATTCGTGGCATCGTGGGTACTCGTACAGTCGTACCTACTTGAAACTTCTAAGCCTCTAAGGTATATTATTATATACAAATATGACAATTGATAATATGCAGATAATATTATTAATTCAACGTCTACCAATGTGCACCACCTACGGTACCGAACTGTCAGTGTTTTTCCTGACTCTTGAGAAAAGTTCTGAAAATTGTTTACTTTTTAGTTTTTATTATAATATTTTTAGTCATTCATGGTACTGCTGAATTGAATATTCCCTAATAATCTTATTTGATATTATTATTTATTACCTAAAAAATCACTAGGATAACCGGTGTGAAAAAAAACGCATAGGGATGTTTCAATTTGGATGGTTAGATTCCGGTGAGGGATAATGTGGCATATTACCATTCTGCACACGAAATAAAACCCATGATTAAATCCTGCCTTCTGACTGGTTTACATATTTGGTGGGAAAATTTAAATTGATGATAATAATATGCATATAAGTTATGAATTATTATTTCTATTATTATATGATGTAATGTTTTTTACCTTTGTAAGGGCCAAGGTACCTAACCTTATTTTAAGCTTTACTTAAATACTTATAGGTATTTATTTTTGCTATACTTTATCAACTGACATTATATTGATTTATTACAATAGTCTTATATAATATAACGTTCATTATTTAATGTATTTATGCATTAATTTTGTGTAGGTACACATATTTAATACAAGTTCTAACATAACATTTTTTTTAAAATATTAAAATATTATATCGTATATTAAGTTTGGTACCTATAGCTACATTCTGGAAATAGACAATGGTGTCTTTGTTATTGCACATATTTTGAAACTAAAAAAAGTAATAACTGTAAGAAACACATTTTAACATACCCATTCTAATTTGTCCTAGACAAAAGATATTTAAATCTTAAACTTTTTTTTTTTAAACATTTATTTCATAACCATGTAGTAGACATATTTATTTTAAACCCCCAATTGATAAACCTAAGCAAGATAAAATACAAAAAAATTGTATTCATATTAGGTAGGTACTATTAAACTACTACTATTTGAATAAGTATGTATGCTATTTTGTTTTTGTTTTTGATGATAATAATATGCTAAAATATTGTTATTACTATTATTTGAATAAGTATGTATGTTTTTTTGTTTTTGTTGAATAAATTATTATTGTTATTATAATAGTTTAGTGTAATATTATTTAGAATGGGTAGGTATTTTTAGAACAAATTATGCTTATTATATGATAACATGATAATTATATTAAATGATATGTAATTAAAAAATATATTTTGTTACACAATAGAGTATTTAAGTGTTTTTAGTCTATGAGTCCTGGTTCATTTTTTTATTTTAATCCTACATTTCTTAAAATTAAATTATGATTCTTAAATTAACTTCTGATAATCTCCCTTCATCATTTAAAAACATTATAACTGTAATTAACGATGATATTACAACAATACGGTCAAATGTAAATGATTTATTGAGTATGGCCTATTGGATAGAAGAATTTTCTTTTAAAACTTGTACTAAATGGAATGTTAGGACATCTGTCCCTAATGGTAAATACATTCAATGCAGGTTAGTCACCTTATTAACTTTTTTAAATTGAAATCAGTTGCAAGTATAAAAATGATTTCCTAACTGTATGTTTTATGTTATTATTATTATGTATCTTAGAAAACAATATGTGTGTCATCACAGCTCTTACCACAAAGTTGATAGAGAAAACAACAAAAGAGGTCGATCAAAAAACACAAGCTGTAAAGCCACAATTAAAATTGTCATTAAAGTTGATACTGTTTCCACGAGGAAAACAGACCCATTTGTAAAAGTAAGAACAAGTTTTTTTTACTAGACCTTCTTATGATTCAATGTTCACCCAGTTAACCTATGTATTCTGTTTGTTAAATATTTATTTTTTACCTATTATAATATTTATAATTAGGTTTTGTTATTCATTTATTACTCCTTATAATAAAATGTATTTATATATTTTAATTAATGGCACTTATAATCAATTTATGGTACCATTTAAATGCATTGTTAAATATATTACAGGATGGATTACTAGCTGTAATCACAATTTTTAATGAACATAATCATAATTTAAACACTGCTGAAGCACTGAGATACTTAAGTGCAAACAAGCACATTAGAATGAAGTTTGAAGAATATTTCACAGATGGTATGACCATAACAGAAGCAATTCGGTGAGTTGTTTTTTAATTATTACTTATGAAAAAGTACTAGAACTAAAGTTGTTAGGTATGTTTTGTTCTCTTGTTGATTCATCTTGTAATAATATTGTTTTAAAAAATAATAATGTATTGTTGATAATAAAAGCTCTGTATTTTTAATTTTTAATTACTTACACATCCAATTTACCTATAAAACTATTTTAATATTTAAAATAATCAAAATGGGTTTATATTTTTAACAATTCGGTTTCGGCTTCTTTACTTTACAGGTATCATGAAAGTGTTCTAACTATATCTGATTGTCCTGTTGAAGTTTTTGCAAATGCTGGAATTAATCCAACATACAGAACGATACAAAATTGGCATGACCAGTGGAGGGTGTTAAATCTAGGACCACGTACTGGAGAAGGAGTTATGAAGGTATCAATATTATAATTAATAAATAAAATAGTTAGGTATCCACTCTTTAGATGCATAAACAATACTTTGCTTTATTCTGATACTTAAAATGTTTTTAAAAAATTCTAATACATTTATAATAAATATTGGCAATATTTTCAATATTTAAAATGGACATAACATTAGTTTAAATTTTACTTTAAATGGTATATTACATTGACATATTTTATAGTTAATTTAATCCTTCTTTACAATTTAAATGTAGGTATACATAACATTATAACAATTAATCAGAAAATGTATATATTTATCTTCAAAGTTAGTATAAAACCTAAAGAATTACATGTGTCTATAAATTTGTTGCAATATCAAGTTCACCTCCAGTCATGATTTTTTTTTGTTATATATAGTTTTTTTTTATATCTTAATTCCAAATAAATATAATGTAAAATTGATGAAACAAATGGTTCAAAAGTTATAGCGTTAAAAATTTAAAATTTGTGACTGGGTTTTAACTTTTAAACATAACGTAGGCCTATCATTATAACTCAACTAATAGTCACTCAAAATATTTATCTAGAAATTAGAAGAAAAAAAAGAAACCTATGCTGAAAGTGGAGTTTCAATATTCTCCCAGTCTGAACCATTTGCTGTGCTAATATTAACACCAATCATGAAACGCGCCCATGACTTACCTTTATCAAAAAAAATAGTATTTGTTGACTCAACAAGTTCATGTGATCCACAGAACCATTGTGTAACTTTTTTATTGACACCATGTGCAGCTGGTGCCGCTCCTTTAGGTGTGATAATTACACATGGTCAGAGTGAAAAAGCATATAAAAGTGGATTCAGTCTAATTAAGAATAATGTAAAAAATGCATTTGGAGGACAAGGCTATCCTTCTATATTTTTAACTGATAACTCTGATGCCGAAATAAATGCTTTAATGACAGTATGGCCAAATTCAACTTCACTTTTATGTATTTTTCACGTTATGCAAGCAGTTTGGAGATGGTTATGGGATAGCAAAAATAGCATAAAGAAAGAACATCGGACAATAATGATGCAAGCATTTAGAAAGATGTTATATTCTGATACTACTGAAGAAGCTCAGAAAGCATTTAACTCTACCCTTGATGCAGGTAGCATGTATCCAAAATGGCAGAAATATGTAATTGTACATCACTGGGAGCATAAAGAGCGTTGGTGCTTAGCTTGGAGGGACCATACAACTAGAGGCCATCATACAAATAATTATAGTGAGGTGTCTGTTAGGATCTTTAAAGAAAATGTTTTATGCCGAGTAAAAGCATATAATGTTATTTCACTAATAGATTTTTGTTGCACAAAATTGGAAGAATATTATAAAAAAAAATTTCTTGAGTTTTCCAATGACAGAAAAGCTACGGCTCGCTTATATTTTGAAAGCATAATCAAGAAAAGTAATTATGTTACGAAAGATAAAATTATTGTAGAAGATGAGCATTACTATGTTCCTAGTCAAAATGATCAACAACTAATGTACTGTGTTGAGCCAAGTATAGGAATTTGCTCTTGTAAGGAAGGCATGTACGGTAGATTTTGTAAACACCAAGGAATAATTTATGTATATTATAAATGTGTGGGGGTTAATTTTCCACCTATAACTGTAGAGGATAAATTTGCAATATCAAAATTAGTATTGGGCGACAAAGCGCCTTGTAAGACATTTTATGAAGGGCTTATACCTAAAGAGGCATTACACCAGCAACTCGAAACTCATCCAATACACTTGCCTATATCAGAAACTCATGGGCCAGATGTAAATAATATACCTGAAAACAACTATAATATTACAAAAAAAAATGTATTCAAAAGTACAACAGTGCCCAATGAAGACAGTCTGATATCAAATACACAGGATAGTTATACAGTATTGGAAGATATAAAAACTCTATTGACTAACAATGTAAAACAGTTCAGCCAATCTACTCTTGAAAATTTACTTAAATTTAAAAATAGATTGGATAAAGTAAAAACAGAAGGGCAATTTAATACATTTTTGGCAACTGCTGGTTCTGAGGCAATACCATTACGGCGTAGAGAGGGTGCAGCTATTAGAGTACAGCCGACTACAATTTCTAGGCGTAGACCAGGGATAACAAGAGGTAGCAAGCGTTTACCATCAGGTAATTTATAATAATAGACATATATAACAAAAATATTGTGCCTTAACAAATTTGATTATCTTATAGGTAGACCAGCTTTAAGTGATCATGGTACATCTAAAAAAAACCCCAGGAAACTATTACAAAACATAAAACATTGTTTGCCTAACGGAAAATCTCATTGACTATATTATTAATTTATTATATTATTAAGATAATAAAGTATAATAAATATAAGTAGAAATTTGTATTTATGTTGACTACTTAAATTAATTAAATGTATATATTTCATATTTTTGAATAGGTAAAAAAAGTTAAAAAACATTATATTATATAATAATAGAAATAATAATTCATAACCTATATGCATATTATTATCATCAAAAACAAAAACAAAATAGCATACATACTTATTCAAATAGTAGTAGTTTAATAGTACCTACCTAATATGAATACAATTTTTTTGTATTTTATCTTGCTTAGGTTTATCAATTGGGGGTTTAAAATAAATATGTCTACTACATGGTTATGAAATAAATGTTTAAAAAAAAAAAGTTTAAGATTTAAATATCTTTTGTCTAGGACAAATTAGAATGGGTATGTTAAAATGTGTTTCTTACAGTTATTACTTTTTTTAGTTTCAAAATATGTGCAATAACAAAGACACCATTGTCTATTTCCAGAATGTAGCTATAGGTACCAAACTTAATATACGATATAATATTTTAATATTTTTAAAAAAATGTTATGTTAGAACTTGTATTAAATATGTGTACCTACACAAAATTAATGCATAAATACATTAAATAATGAACGTTATATTATATAAGACTATTGTAATAAATCAATATAATGTCAGTTGATAAAGTATAGCAAAAATAAATCAATTTAAATTTTCCCACCAAATGTGTAAACCAATCAGAAGGCAGGATTTAATCATGGGTTTTATTTCGTGTGCAGAATGGTAATATGCTACCGGGAACCACGGACTAAGATATACAGGACTGGACACGAGATGAATATTGTGGTTACGAAATGTTTTACAACAGGCGGAGTTCGGGGGGATATTTTCCTTTTAGCATTACTAGCGCCGTCTTAGTGGATACTTATGGAACTAGAAATTTGTATGATGTGTTCTAGTTCCATAAGTATCCACTAGGACGGCGCTAGTAATGCTAAAAGGAAAATATCCCCCCGAACACTGCCTGTTGTAAAACATTTCGTAGTCAACCCCTCCACACCCTCCAACCTTGTCGTGTCCAGTCCTGTATATCTTAGTCCGTGCCGGGAACCATGGGCTTGTGAACATTATTGTTCTATATTGTAAACATGACCACGGACTATTCTTCGACTGATATCACTATCAGTTTATGATCAACGCCAGTCACGTGATAAATAATTGAATTTAAATTAAATTTAAATATTATTTTATCATGGCCAGTCGTACGCACGTGTGGTGTTTTCGTACTGTCAGTTTTGTTTTCGTGTGCCGGTCGCCTTAGTGGCCACTGCCCACTGGCTCCAGACTGCACCTTACTGTGGCCAGAATCCGGTGGTGAACAGTGAGCAGAGAGCACCGTGACTATCCAGACCAGATTAGGTTAATCGGTTAGGACTGTCTTGTCCGTCGAATTTTACGGCAATGGATGTGATGGATCATGGCAGCGATATTGAGTCCAGGGAAATCCTGGAGCACGAAGGACACACGTACGAGAAAAAGTGGATGGGCAACACCGTCGTGGTGGCCGCCAATAACTGGGTGCTGTGGAAATGCGTGAAAAGCTGTTGCCCTGGACAGATTGCCACGACCGCCGTCCGGACGAAGCGATGGCGGCGACCACGGTTCACCGTTCGTCGGGTCGTCGCCGGCAATCGGCTGACGGCGTTCGTACCGCGGCGGTCTCACAATCACGCGCCCGTGACGGTGAGTGGAAAAGAGACGTCTCAACAGAAAGGGACAATGACTGGCATAGCCAAACTGACGCCGATGACGACAAGTGCCATAGCCAAACTGACGCCGATGACGACAAGTGCCATAGCCAAACTGACGCCGATGACGACAAGTGCCATAGCCAAACTGACGCCGATGGCGACAAGTGACATAGCCAAACAGACGCCGATGACGTCGCCTACTACAAGCCTCACTGACGTGTTGGCTGCCCCAAGTGAGTGTTCTTTCGTTTGTGAGGACTGTTTATTATTTTTGCATTAACTTTTGATTTGATCTTCGAATTGACTGGACCATCGATTTCTCCGCTGATCTGATATTATTGTATTCATTTCACTTTTGTAATAAATTTTAGAAATTATGAGCGGACATACCATTACAATTTGTTTACGATAACTTCCATTGGAATATCTGTAATATTTAATAGCTATTTCTCTATTATTTCTGTACTTCATATTTGTTTATTTATCACTAGGTATTGGAAATCAGCATTATCTTATCTGTGTTTTAATTATTTTAAATGATAATTTTATTTAAACTACCTAGAAAACAATAATATAATATAGTCAGTGGTTTAATATTTATAACAAATTTCAGGATACCAGACTACGTACAGCGTGGGCCACGGGAATAGGGACAAAAGTTGACGGGTTTTTCTCAACGTTGAATGTGAGTAGGAAGGTCTAGTTTAGCTTATTCGATCTGTCAGATAATGCCGTTTTGTTGTCACTAAGGAGCGGTGGAGTGTCTTTCACCGTGTGTTTGCGTACAACGCATTTGTGAAAAACAATGAATCGGTAGTTAAAGTGCAGCGCTCATTCAGATTTCGGCGTCGTAGGTAGTGGTGCTGCTCACTATGGGAAAACAATTATGAGGTAGGTAGATAGTTTTCAAACGGGAAAAGTTAATAAAAAAAAAAAAATTGTCCCAAACGTACTGTAACAACTCCCGAGAATACGGAATCTTACCGTCTGAATGCGCGCTGCACCTTAACCACAGATTCATTGTTTTTCTCAAATGCGTCGTACACAAACACACGGTGAACGACATTCTACTGCTCCATAGTGACAACAAAACAGCATTATCTGACGGATCGAATGAGCTAAACTAGACCTTCCTACTCACATTCAACGTTGAGAAAAACCCGTCTACTTTTGTCGCTATTCCCGTGACCCACTCTGAATACTTATCTATAGTTGTACCTATGTCTCTTGTTAATTTTATTTTTACACATTTACACTTTACAGATTTAAACAAATTTGAAATTTGCCTACAAATTACCTTACATCATTTTTCATTTATGATGATATTAATAATGATAACATTTGATAACATTTGTACCCACTACACAATTCTAAGACATGTTTCTGTTTCAGGTTTTAAAGAGTTGAATGAAATTGATGCATTTCATTCGTCGGAACCAAAATCATCACTTTCACCTACGGATATTGAAAATATATATTCAATTAATCTTGATAATGTGCCAAAAAGTATGGAAAATATTGAACAAACTGTGACTACTTTTGATGATGGTAAGCATAAAATAAAGCACTATATAATAATAATTAATTAACAATATATTTACTCTTAATTAAAAATACAATTTTAATGTATAAAAACACTAAAATTATAATTGTGTTAAACATTTGTATGCTGATATAGGTACATTCATTCGTATTGAAATTAGAAGATAATATTAAGTTTTAATTATTTCAGGTAACAAAATGCCAAATATTAATGATACAACGGAATTTCAAGCAGTCAAGCTTGTTAGCCTTATTGATCACCAATCAAATTCCAAAGAAAGACATTTAAAAGACATTAGTGTTACAGTTAATAGTACGAATATTATTGAAAATATAAAAAAAAAAAATGGTGTACAAATTAAATATGGTAAGTTCTGTTATTATATCTTGACTTGGTGCTGATGTTTTTTTTTATATTACTGTTGTTTGATAGTACAGTAGAATCTCGGTAATCCAACAGATATCAGACCACGCTTCTGCCGTATTAACAAAAACTGCGGATTAATGGGGGTTCACATAAAAACCCATTTTTACTTATTAAATTTTACATTTTTACTCAATTAAAAAATAAAAAAATATTAAGAGTATTAAAAAATGAATAACCTTATTGTATTTTATTATAACATATAAATAATACATACATACATGCATGCTGTGTCAATTAATATTTTGATGGGATCTCAATGATCTCATACCAAAACAATTTTTAAATTTATCTAGCCAACCGTCAACTAGCTTAAATATCATCTTTCTGTGTGAATTTTTGTAAAAATACTTAGCTTTCCTTTTCAACATTTTGCCGGAAATAGATTATGTCGATTACTTCCTTGCAAAAACCATAAATACAAGGCATCTTCAAGAAGCTCACCAGTTTTTAATGTTTTGCACATACTATTCAATTTCGTTATTTTTGAAAAAAGATATTATTTTTTTTTATCATATATTGTAGCAGCACGGCCTACTCCAAATTTGTTAGCTAGGTTTACTAATTTTTCACTGTTTTCTATTTTATTTAAAATTTCTAGTTTCTTTAAAGTTAAAGTAGTATGTTTTCGTTTTTGTTGTTGCGACATTTCAGTACATAATATAACACAATATCTAACCGGTACACAATGAACACGCTTAACAATTCAATGTCAACTGAATAAAAATAAAATATCTAATAGGTTTATTCGGATTTAATTTGTTATTACTTAGTTTTATCTAATGTTTTATCGTTTATAATAGTAATTTTATATATAAATACATATTGATACGTATAGGTTAATATAGCCAGATTACTAGACGTATTGGATTACCGAGATTCTACTCTATACAAGGTGATTCTTTTATCATGAAGCACTCATTGTTTCAAAAAGTACTAATGTTTTTGAAAATATTTTTTTACATAGTTTCAAGTTGTTAAAAATCATATTTTTAAATATTTTTTTTAAGTTTTTTTCTTTTAATGACAACACGGAGTCTTAATTTCATATTTCAAAGCAGAATATTTTTCTAAGTATTTTGATACATAAAAATTGAATTTAGGACGAGTAGCTTATGAGTTATACGTATTTAAATTTTAAAGTTTAGACAAGCAGAGTAGTTGACAAGCATTTTTTTGGCGGGGTAACTCCGTACTACTCCACTTCCCCAAGGAGTGATAAGGATAAATAATATCATTTTTTAACAACTTGAAACTACATAAAAAATGTTTTCAAAAACATTAATACTTTTTGAAATAATTAGTGTTTCATGATAAAAGAATCACTCTGTATGTGTAAATGAGCTATAAACAAATTTATGTCATTTATAATAATATTCAAAAAAATAATAATTATAGACCTCATCCAAGATAAATGGGATGCTTTATACTTTATAACACTAGTTCATAAAGAAATTCTTTGTATTGATATTTTTTTTTCTGTTTATTAAAAATGCTAGATTAATCAATTTTTTTTTATGATACCAGTAATCATAATATAGTTTTATTTATTGCTTAGTTCAGTGTTTTCCAACCTTTTTATATGGTGACCAGCTCTTTTGCCAGGCAACACATAAAAAAAATAATTCTTCTAGCATTGTTTTCTATAATTGGTCGGTAGGTACTAGCATTATTATATAATTTAATCTTTTATCATATTATAACAAGCTTTTGATCTGTCACAATAATTTCACGACCTACATTTTGGATGTCATCCATAGGTTGGGAAACACTGGTTTAGGTAACGATACAGGTAGGGGTAGGAGTTCTTTCCATTTATATTTTTTCTACAACCATAGTGTCTCCTTTATGATTATGCTGGTAAATTATTGTTTTATGTTATTTGTATTATATTTCCAATTTAGTAATTTTTTTTTTTAATGATTAATAAATGTCACATTATATACCTAGTTTAAAGACAAATATAAATCTGCTTACTTATTAATTGTTAATATTTTTAGGTAGTTCAAGTATGTCCACTCAAAATAAAAATGATGAAATCCTGTGTCATATATGTAGTACATTTTTTGATGAATATTGTTATAATCAACACATTCAAACCACCAGACACATAAGTGCATGTGAGGAAACTTTTAAAGACCGTATTGATTTTGAAAATTATAGAATATTTTCGTGTTCAGTTTGTGTTACTAGAACAGAGTTTTTTAAGACTATTCAACAATATTTTAAAATTTTAGTAGACCATATAATTTTAGAGCACAATACACTTGTGGTAGATATATATTTTTTTGCACTTTATCACGAAGATAGCTTAAATATAGAAAACAAATATATTGCCGAAGTAAAACATTTTGATGTTTATAATAAAGTAATCTCATTTGCACATTATATTTTAATCTATTTAAGATCAGGTTTTATATTACATAATATTTTAGGAATTGACCAAAAACACTGATATATATGAGCTGTACAAAGATATTGTGAAATCATTTATGTTTCAAAGTGATGCATTACAAACTGCTGAATCTAATTGGACTCTGGAAGAAATACTTTATGTTGAAATATCTAAAGCAAAAATATTATGTGAAAATGAAGTTTCATCAAAATCCCTTGTCGAGATCAGTGATAATAATGAAATTAGAGATGAACAAATTAGCACCGGTAATCTTATATAATGTTTCTATAAATAATTTACATAAAACCATGGTAAACTAGCTAAATTATGATAACTAATCAGTTATTTTAAAACAATTTTATAAAAATGAATATTCTATTATTTAAAATCTGATTGGTTGTACAAGCTATTTGAGTACAGTGTATTTATATTATACTTGAGTGAAAAATTAAATGTATGGTTTTACAATGATAATATTTTGTTATTATTTAGTTTATATTTTTTTATTGACACTCTTATGGAAAAATAAGTCCCAAACATTGTTTGAACCATCCATATTGATTTAAATTCTAACACTGGAGCTGTTGGTGTTGATTTTTGACAATGTTACTATACTCGTTCCACTGAGAGAGTGCTACTCATTTGCGCATCTAAATGACCGAGCTCTTGGTTTTCGTGTCTAAATTTCTCCCACTTTACCACCTAGTTGTTGCAACGACAGTGGTGGCAGCCAGCGTACGGGCAGGTATAGTGGTGGGAATGAGAAGATAAGACGAGTTTTGGTTGCCGCCCAGTAGCGTTCTCTCAGTGACACAAGTATATACTGGCACTATTTTTTAGCTTGTGTATTAACGTTACCTTCTGTATTAAAAAAAATCAACTAAAATTTTTAAATGTATTTTAGGTAATCCTAAAAAGACTGAACCCCTTCAGCTGATTCGGTGTAAACTATGTAGTATATATGTAGTTCAACAAAATTATGAGCAACATCAAGAGACAACAGCGCATAAAATTTCACTTTTTTATTTAAAAAATGAAAAAGTACAAATAAATGGAGTTCAAAGTGACAACTGCTTTCTAAGCTGTCGAATACTCTCACCAAAATATGTTTCAATTGATGACTTTTTCCAATCAATTGAGTCTGATGTAGTGGAGTTGATTGCTAGAATTATACAATTACAAAACGGTGGACCAATCAGTGTCAATATAAAAATGTTTGGACTTTATAATCATAACAGTTTAATAAGTGAACCTGATACTTTAGGTGATGTCAAATCTTTCATGATAAGGCATGAGGTAATTGAAAAATGAATTATGTTTATTTAAATCTCTATGAGTAATTGTTTATAACTTATTTTTTAATTATATATTTTTCAGATTCTATCTGGAGTTACAATTTTGTTACATTGGTTTCAAAAAATACTAAATAAATTCAAGTCCCACTCTCAACAATATTTAAAATCCATGCCACAATCCTATTATTTAGAACGTGTTATGTTTTTAGACCTATGCTTCTATGAAATTACTAGTATACAAGAGACTAAACATTGAATGTTATGTTTATACAATTTATAATTGTTACTTTATTTGTAAGAGTTAAGCTTCTTATTATTTAATTTATTTTAAATAATATAATTGTTTTTATGAATTTGATTGCTAGAATAATTAAATTACTATATGACATTTTTGATTGTATAATTTATTTATTATTAATATTTTTTTCCCCCACATTATACTCCTTTTCATGTAATATGATTGCAGTGTTGATACCCTTCAATTCCCTAAGTAATATTTTTGTTAATTTACTTAAATTGCTGCAATTCCATAAAATTAAAGTAATATATTGATATATTTTAGAGGAATCTAGTCTATTCAGAATAAGATCAATCCAGATTTACGTAGCAAAACCGGTTTTGACCATGGCCATCTGGTATGTTCTTAATCTGAATAGAGTAATCCCTTTTCGTTCCGAAAGGATAATTTGTGGATAAATTATGTTCCAACATAGAAATATTGGATGGCTTTTCTTATTTAAATCACTGTTACTAATCCTGATCAGTAGCATGGTATCACAAAACGCTAAAAGCTTTTTAATTTTAATCATTAAAAAAAAATATTTTATTATAATAAGTTTTTATTTTAACATCTAAGGTTTAAAAGATTCCTCCTAAGTTTTTCTTACTAAAATTAAAAAAAAAAGTTAAGCTTTGTGTTACTTGAATGTTTTTATGAACATTAGAACTTCAAATTTTGACAACATTTCTTAAAAATTACAATAATTTGAAAATTATTTTGTAGTTAAAATTAATAAAAATGTTATAGGTAAGGCTTTAAAATGTAATATAAATGTGCCAGAAAGAAAGGCAACCGGAAGTATAATTTTAACCATTTTCCAAACTCGTCATCGTTTGTACATTATTTATTTTATTTTATTACACACAAGATGAGCCAAACTTACAGAGTTGTACATAGAGAGTGTCCATTATTTAGGTGACAATGATTATTATAATAAACACAATGAATCATTAAAAAAATCAAAATTAGTGATATTATTACAATGCATATAATATATACATCCGGTTTAATGGGCTATAGCCTATAGTAACTGTAATATTCTATTGTTATTTTAGTAACCCTAGTTACTAGTTTACTACGTAACATTTAAAGTCCCAACAGGTACCATATTTAGTATAGTATATTGCAAATAGGTATGTTAAATGGAAATAGAAATAGCTAGTTAACCTTCGAATTTCGATTATGTTTTAATACAAAATAATCAAACAGCCAATGATAGGTATAGTGACCAAAGCGAAAGGATAAACAAATTTACAATTATTCATTATGGCTCAGTATGATACGATTTTAGAATCGCATAGACTAGGCGGATGTAGGTAATGTTGTGCAATAGCACCATATATGACGGATATTCAATATAAAAGAGTAAAATGATTATTTATAATGAAATTGGCAATTCATAGATTAGCTATCAGGACACTATGGTAATACTCAGAATCGACTATGAATTTCGCAAGTGCTAGCCACTGGGCTAGGTCGATGGTCACATAGGCCACATCCGCGAGAACCGAGATACAGTATCACTAGACAAGAGGGACCCCGAAATGGCCTCTGATTCAGACGTGTTCACTCGACTGAACTGAAAGCACCTTCACGACACTTAGTACAACATAATTGTAATTTGGACTCTGCACAAATTATTGAAGAACATTATAATAAAACCACATTATATTTACATCTGTCTACACTTTATTTCAACAACTACCTCATCATCATCAGCGAAACTGTCTAGCTACCTGCAACGTTAATATACAAGTAGTCACCCGGACTACCAGTATATTAACTTTATTTGTTGTGAGTTGTTTTTCAGAATTTATCAGTCAATAATATAATACATTGGTTCCAAATTGTCTTTACATCCAAGGATATCCTATGGTTTTAGACACATATACACAATTGACAGCGTGTACGGATTTGACAGTCAGACTCATGTGGATCGATGAGCGGTTAGACGCAAGTTCTAGTGTCCTACTTACTTTTACGTAAACACAATGACCAATATGGGGTTCATAGAACAATAGTTATAATTATTATTAGGTATTTTAGATTCAGAGCCTAGCGATGAATGCATTGATTTTAAAATTATGTGTGAGTCTTTTTAAATTCCCTGTTCTGTCTGTTCTCGCATTTTGGGGCAGAAAAAATACCACCACACCATAATATATACTTTCACTTGGCCAAAACCATAAATATCAATATTATAATATTATTATTGAGATTTTGTATGTAACAAAAAAATTGTTGGGCCCCACACTCCCTGCAAGTGAACATACCTAATCATGTTCAGTGGGGCCATCATTATGTTGAAATAAATAAAATCGTTCTCTTTAATGCTAAAAACAAGAAATGACATTTTACTGTGTTAACAGAATAATTTTACATCATAGTTTAATGAAAAATTATTAAACAATTTATGTTGAATGAATAAATCCAAGTATATTGTATAAAACACAATATAACATTTTCAAAACGGATTTAAATCACAACAAGAATAAAAATATTCAATCATTGATATTGTCATAAATTTATAAATAAATGTTATTATTAATATTTAATAACTAATGAATTTATAGAAGTGAGTAGCTAGCTTACAAATGTGAATTTAAAATCGATTATTATGTTATTATGTTATTATTATCTTGTAGACTTGTAGATATTTTAATTAAAAACAGTTATAAATAAACACATATTATAACTTGTATAGCAAGCCGTCCGCTGTGGACTGTTATAAATAAATGAGTGCTGAATAAGTTCTAAATAAAAACAAATAGGTAGATGGTACACTCAGTTTTCACGCTTCAACCATAAAGTATATTTTGATCGTGATATTTATCCAGGTTAGTAGGTACAATGTATTTTTTATTAAATTAAATTTAGTAATTCGACGATTTTCAATCAAGGGGGCTGCTGTCTGTGTAAAAAAGTGGCATTTAGACGTTAGACCAAAAATTTAGACAAAACTGTAGTAATTTGGTTTGACAGATTTCAATTTTGAAAACGGATTAAGATTGATTAACGAGATAACCTACTAGGTTCTTATCGTGGTGATTTTTAATATTCCAAAAATTGTTAGTGTCATGATTAAAAATATAAATAAAAAATATCGTTTTTTATATTTATTGATTGCACAGCTGGAAAAATAGATTTTCAAAATCACCTCGATAAAAACCTAGTTATAATTTAATAATATATAATATAATAGTTTAATAACAACTTGTTCCTGCACGTACGATAGTAGTTAAGAGCCGTCACTGTAGGTAGAAAAAAATAGATCTTAAAAACATGTTTTCGTAGTTCCAATAGTACTCAGGCCTCGTAAGTCGTAGAAACATAGTTTTTATACCAAATTAAACACGAGAAGTTTATCTAAAAACTGTTGGAATATATTTTTTAAATTTGTTTTCAAATTTTATTTGTGTTTGAAAAATTTGTAAAAAAATTAAGTGTCCGTCGAATATAACTGACTGTCCGACCAGGCGATAAATCATTGTTTTTTTCATAACCAAAATTCTGGTTATTAAATATATTATGTACTTAATCGAAAAAAATATCTACTTCTAATGGTGGGCCCAGGGCCCCCACATTCCTAAATCCGGCCCTGATAATAATATGTATTTTTATGATGAAAAACCAAAAAAATATTTAGAAAAATCGCATAAAAAATTGATACTTATACTAAAAGTAATTATCTCAAAGTGTGCAGTTAAAAAATAACTAAAGATAATAGTTAACAAATATATAAGAAGTATTTTACATATTCTACTGTATAAGATCCCAAAATTTGGTTTGTGTCCATTTGCGTCTATATTTTTAATATTTTTTGTTTGTAACCTGTTCCAGTCATTAGATCCATACATTTCCTCAATACCCAACACACCAAAAAAAAAATATGTTGTTGGATAGTGAAGTAACAGCATTATTAAACGTTGATAATATGAAATATGAAGAAAAAAACGAAATTTAAATCTAAATTGTGTAATATATAATATATTTTTAAAAATGTATAATTCATATATTAAAATAATATATTTGATGTAAAATATACACTTTTATAAAAGCATAACCTAGCCTCTTTTTTAAAATTTCTATTCAAAAACAGATGCAAGATTTGAATTCAGCAGCCATCTAAACGTATAAGTTGATGTAAATTACACACATTTTGAAATACTTAAATAAATTCTCCCCCTAGCTCCCCTTCCATTGGGCCAATTTCAAAATCAATGCCTAAATTGGATTCAGCATACTCAAAACATATAGATTTGATATATTAAACAATCATAAAAACTAAAAATTAAGAGGTGTTAATTTTTGCCGCCTAAAATTGGATTTCATACCATTGTGCGACGGTGACCAAAGCTCGGAGCGAGCGACGAAGACTACATAGTAGGATATTTTGGAGGGGGGGGGGCTTGAGCGTGCTTAGCCCTCTCAATACATACAAACAGAAAAGTTAGTAGACATATTACAATTACATCATATTATGTAATTTATTTTACTTATATTATTTTTGAGGGGGCTAAATTTTCTGTTTGTACGTTTTGAGAAGGCTAAGCCCCTCAAGTACCCCCCCCCCAAAAAAAATCCTCATGAAGACTATAATATAGGCGCATGGGATCAGACCGCTGGGCGAAAAGGGGAGAGAATCGGTGGACAGCACAGCAACGAGCATCAGATTTTGAGTTAACTTTACCCGGAAATAAATTGAATAAATTAACGAGTAATGATAATAATAATAAAAAAACAGTTGATTTAGGTATTAGACTACATAATTACATTTTAAAACTATTTTATTGGAATTTACTATTTTATTTATTGTAACGTTATTACTCAAAGTAATTCAACGCATACCTATAAGCATTAGATAAAAAGTGGAGTATAATTCTAAAATTGATTTGATAAGAGTGTAGTGTTTCTTGAACGATTCGCATCTGAATTTTCATTTTTCTAAAAATACAATAAAAAAAACTATAAACAACATTAAATACAATAATTAAAAAAGTATAGGTACACAATCTAAAATACAGAATGCTTAATACAAAATTTGATTATTTAATAAACAAAACAATGTTGATTTAGAAAATATAATTTGTTCTTTTAAAGTTAGTCCTAAAATTGACTAGGTATGTATAAATTGTATAATAATATATAGGTATATTATATATATATAGTAATTAATAATGCATAATATAGGAAAATACATCACTGATTTTTATTAATTACCTATAAGTAAGGTTAGGTTAGGTTAGGACATTAGGTTACTTATAGCATATGTAATTTTGAAAGAAAATTTAAATATCTCGGAACTATTATAATGAAATTAATTCATCAAAAAAGCCAAATATATACCTATAATAACCCTATATCCTATATGGTATGAAAAATATAAAGTGTATAGGTACTAGGTACGCCATTGAAATATCACATAGGTACCTATTTACTATTATAATTATATTATTAATAGTATAGGTACCACTATACCAAATAACAGAGATAGTGTAGGCAGTTACTATTATAGCTATATAATATATATGTACCTATATATAGTACCAATAGTAAAAAAATACCTAAATTCTTAATATAGGTATTTATAGGTGATAGGTAAATTAAATTCATAACTAAATAAATAAATAAATTTCTGGTCAGGTGGCACTGTTGGGAGCCTTCCTATTATGTTATTTTATGTCTAATGTTCTTATGTCACCACACTTACTCATTATACCTTGTCTGTTGTATAGATTGTAAATATTCTTTTTAAAATAAATAAAAAATAAATAATATCAACAATTTTAAAAAGTTTGATGGAATTTTTACCTATTGTTTAATATTTTAATTAAGTACCCAAATTTTGTAGAATGATAGAGTATTATTGACCATTGTAAGAATAATTGGATGGTTTCTCATTTGTATTAATGACGCTAATCCGGTTATTAGCAATATGAGAATCTGTAAAAAAAAAAAAAAAATGTTAATTTAATAGTTTTGTTAAAATCTTGTGTTGCTAAGTGTAGGAAAAACATTTGGATTGTCTATCTAGATCAAATTTGCTACTAGAAGGCAGAAACCACTCTCAGACTTTCAAATTGAAGCAAATGGTTAGGTGACATGAGTACATGACATGACATGAAGACAATAATACATGCATAAAAAATTATGTTTAAAATAAAACACACATTGTTGAAATATCAATACAACAGACTATGCCCAGATATTCAGACTCTAAAATAGGTTGATTAATAACAAGATTTATAAAATAACTAGCTGATCCCGAGCGCTTCGTTGCCCGTTAAATGTATCAACTCTATATGACTCAAACTTTGTTCAATTCGTTATTTAATACTCGGTGTATGGTGTTCAAAATTTATCTTAACTTTTCCGTTGCCCCGAATAAAAATTCTGATTCGCAGCAGTACATTATCAAGTAGGCAATCTACCTGTGGTAGATCGCGGACCCCGTGCTGTTTGTACGTAAGTGAATGATTTAACTCTAAAGTATCAAAGTTATACCAATTTTGTCGTTTTTACATAATTCCACCAACGGTAGATCAATATAATCAATTTATACAAAATCCTATCCTAACCTAACCGTACTAAAATCTAATGAATAAAGAAAAACAAATTTAACCCTTTATAAATTAACCTATCTTCTTCCCAGAGGTCTAATGTGCCCACAAAAATTAATTTAAATATATATATGTAACTATATAAATACAGAGACTATAAATATATACAGGCTAAATTCTACAACTACTTCTCAGATCTTCTTGTATATATTATATATATGTAATATATTTAATAAATTAAATTTGATTATAATATTAATAATAATACCTATAATATAGGTATTAGGTACTTACTGCTATGACTAAATTCAAATTGATATTGAAAAATCCAAATGCTGTTATTTCATCAAAGTCCGAAATTGTTATTTGATTCAAAAACATTTTAACCTAATTGATTAATACATTTTAATTATTATAGAAAAAAATAAAAATATTATACTCTGGCTTGTTTAACATAACAGTTCACAGGCGACTGACTTCTACACCAGGAAATGGGTGTAGCTCACTATTCCAAGAACTACATTGCTAACTTCTCGATATAGCGACTTTTCAGACTCAGACGATAGTCGGAAACAAAAGTTAACGACGAAAACCGATTTATCGGGCGGGTGTGGTCTGACCAAACCGGACGAAAATCTGTCGCTATCCGATCAGTCATTATAATATATGGGAGTATGAAACAGTCCTGAATCATACTATATGTTAAGTTTAAACAAAATGTGTCTAAATAATTTAACAATCAATTAATATTGTCTCATAGAGAACGAGAACATGGAAGATTTATATAATATACCTACCAATTTTGTATTTGAAATCTATGTTAACCATATAAGAAAAATACGTTGTTTGTATGTATAATAAATAATAATGTATACAATATACACACAGGTACCTTTCTACTAAAATATTAATTGACTCTTTTTTAAATATGTAGGTATATGTTTATCGTTAACTAGATACCTACCACAAAATTAAGGGAATTAATGTACCTACCTACTAATTATATTTAGTAATTACTAATTATAGTGAACACATCATAGGCAATGAAGCAAAAATATATTTTACTTGTAGTTTTGTGTCGACTGGTAATTTTGAAATCCGACACAAACGTAAATATGATATAATTCTATTTTTCTGCAAAAATCAAACATAGAATTAAAAATGTATGTGGCTGAAATCAAACATAATATTAAATAAATATTTTAACGTTTTAGTAACACAATTGTTTTATTTAAATAGAGATTTTACCACGTGGTCGTGTTAAGTATATTATACGTTTATTTTACTATATGTCTAATATAATACCTATTTAAATTGAATACTAGATACCTCTTCTTTTATCCACGAAACAGCAACAATGATCGACATCATAAAAACTATTATTTGAAAGGTAAACATATGAAGTGGCAAATATTTTATAATATTTTGGGTAAAACTGACTTTTGGTGATGCTAGCTCATGATAAATCATCAAATAAAATATGTAGATAAAATCAATGAAGCTGCATACAAAGAAACCTAACAGTAATAAACCATAACTCAGATTAAAAATTTTCAATATTTCAGATAGTTTAGCGTGTAATAATCTAATGCTTTCTACCAACATAACTATTTCGGGTTGAGTCCATTCACCTCGAGTAGGGATTAATCCACTAGGAAGACATTTCCAGAAATCATTTAATGTTTGAAATCTATAGTTTAAGTTATTGAGATAAAAGCTAACTGTGATAATAACCACAAAGTCTGTTATATATGGCATACTAAAAAATAACACTGGTATAGTAGTAATGTCTAAAGTCTTCAGATGCCATAAGTTTAAAGCACACACTTCGTATCCTACAAGATATAAAAATAACGAAATCGCAATAATAATCCATCTCTTTTTACTTAGTGAACGACGACGAACCATGAATGCAGTTGAAAGGAGAGCTAGTTTTTGATCAAACTCTATAATTCCATTGATCAACCTTTAAAAAAATAATGCAAACTAATAACTTATAAACTAATATCGATCAATGAAATTGAAATTATTGAATATTAAATCACTTTTTAAAACGAGTACCGTGAAATGTAAATATACAAAGTATATCAAAGTATAATCAATAATCATTATAATAAGTTTATTTTTGTAATTTTTTTAAATAATTTTTCATTTTCACATCAAATAATATAAAACAAAATAATGTAAATATTTTATACGATAGGTTATAGGCTACCTAATTATTTTCGAGTAATATCACTTTTATTCAAATTGCAAAATTGATATAAATAAAAATATATAAACAATATATTATATTTTGCACATCATACAAAAAAATAAAAATGTCTATGAAAGATAATTAATAACTTAGAAATGCATAACTAGCTGTATATCGCTGATATAATTGTGTCATCCTTAATGTCTAAGTAATTTTCAAAGCAATTAAAATATATTAATGAACTTACTTTATTATCCATAATTCAGATATTCTTGATGCAATAATGACAATCCAAAATTTAACTAAACGGAAATATACTATATAATAAAATCCTCTACAATAAACTATGTATGTAAACATTATCAACACGCACATGCGAATTATTTCAAGCAATGCATATTGTGTTGTGTTAGTATTATTTTGGACCAATAATCCAGTAGATTCAAATGTATATGATAGGTTAATTAAACCAAAAACCTTGCATAAAATTAAAATAGGCAGCTGAGTCGATTTAAAAACAGACGTCATTTCAATATATTGTTCACAACTAAGGATGAGGTTGTTTTTATCGATTTATTAACACAAGCTTACAAAAGTCGAAAGAGCAATAAGTACCAGCGGGCACTGCAGTTATACCTAATATTGAAATCGAATAATATTATTATTTATTCAAACCAATAACGTACAGTGGTATGGTAAACAGTTGTAATCGTGTATTAGGGGAAATGCAAATATTTGATTATTTAATATTATTAAATTCTGAAAAGTAAAAATATGTTATATAATAACGGTGTTTGTATAACTCAGAACCTAACACACTCAGAAGTGAGTTATTCAAAATACATTATACACGAATAATACTATGTTGCGTTTGTAATTTTGTATATTATATTCTGAACAAAGCAATTCTACGGTTTCTTTCAATTTTACTTAGATCCAATACGATCAAGACCAAATTGATCATAAGATATTTTACAACCTTGACACCACACTTTGTCTCAATAACTAACAAAAACTAGACTTTATTAATTTTCTCAAATAAACTAAATAGTAAAGGTATTTATAAAAACCTTAATAAAAAAAAAAATTATTATCTAATTGTTACTTAATCACAGGCACCTTCTAATACAAAAAGTATAATGTAACTATGTTAATAGAGATTCTAATAGAAATTCTATTAAATTTATTATACATAAACAAACACGCAAAATTCGAGGCTTTATGAATCGCTTACAAACATATGGGCCTCGCAATGTTCTGCTACCAGGGACAGGAACCGTACCAAAATTGACCGGTTTTGGACCGGAACCCATAAATACATTTTTTTAGAAACCGAAACCGAATCCTATATTTTGATGAAGAGGTTTTTACGGTTTTTTTCGATTCCAAAATCCAATAGATATTTTATCTGTGCCAATTCATACGGCGTTTTAGATAGTCAATTTAGCTACACTACTGTCGTGGTTCATTGAAATAAATTATTAGCTGACAGTCGTAGTTACTACTGAAACCTCTCTAATGAGGCGCTTAATTTTGAATAAAAATAGCTAAAATAATTTTCAAATTAAACGATATTTAGCAAATGCTAATATAATTAATATACTTTAAAGAAAATGTAATATAATTTATTATTGCCCATGTATACATAAATATGATAAAAGTATAACTAAATAACCAATATATTTATAATATTGTAGAGCTAAAATGTAAAATTTTTTTAAACCGAGATGAATTATGCGTAAGTACTAAGTGGTTAGCGAGTTGATTACAAATATATGCATATAATTATGATTACCTCCATATTTAAAGAACGATTTTAATTATTTAAAAAAATAAGGAAATATGACGTAAACATTAGAAAAAAAGTGGGTCACTGTATAGTGAATGGTATTAAATTTGAATTCAATGATATAATATCATTGTATAATTAAAACGATTCTGAGCGGAGACGGTATGTCAGTCTAGGTATAAGACATATGATATACTAATCTAAGGTATTAAAAAAATATTGACCTTTAATAGGTAGGTACCTATAATAAATTTCAAATTAATCATAGCACAATATCCATTAGGTACTTATAACGCGTTATACATCAACAACAAACCCTGACACTATCATAGATGTATAATAGTGTACTTTAGAAGTTTCAAGTACCCACGAATTATATTATACAATCACAACAAAATAACTAAAATAGTTATTCTATGTTTTAAAATTTAAAACAAGATTAAACGTAAGTAGTTAATTCTGTTACCAAAAAATCTAAAAAATACATAATCACAGTTTATTTTTATAGTAATTTTAAACTGTGATTATGTATTTTTTAGATTTTTTGGTAACAGAATTAACTACTTACGTTTAATCTTGTTTTAAATTTTCAATCCTTAGATATAAAAGTTGAACATTTTATATATTTTTAACTACAAAATAATTGTTCAATTTTAAATTTGATAAATTTTGTCAAAATTCGATCTTTAAATGCTTATAAAAAAAAAATCGTGCCTTTGTATTTTTAATATTTTTCAACTGATATTGTAACAATATATCAGGTGCCTTGTATTCAATTTTTATACTTTTTGGCCCAACAGATAAAACTTTATTGATATTTATAGAAAAAAAAATTATGAAATTGAAGACTGAAAATGTCAGTAAACAGCTCAAAAAGAGTCAAAATATTCAAAATTGTATGGTGTATAGGAAATGCTAATATAAACATTCAGTGAAATTTTCATGTGTCTACATTATGCATTATTTGACAAGATATTGTTGAAGAAAATCGAAACATTAATTCAACTACTTATCGTGTACACAGACACAAATTGTAAAATCAATACATTCATCGTTTCACTCAGAATCTAAAAAATTCTTTTCCAGACAACGAATCATGAAAACTTATACTATGCATTACGACTTATAAGTGCGATTAATATTCAGCCATAATCGTCGTCTCAGAATGAAAAGGTTCTAAATAAATTTTTTAGAAAAATGGTTTTTTATGCATATTTGTATTTAATATTTTTTGTTGTATAATTCAATCTTGAAATCGTATCGATCCGTTGATTATTCAATGAGATACAGATAGATAATGAAAAGGTTCTAATTCATACATGAATGCAGGGGTGTAATTAGGGGTTGATTAGGGGGATAGATCCCCCAAATCTTTTTTTTTGCTGCTAACATTTTGATCAAAGTATTGCTAATGACCATTCAGGTTTGCTAAAGAAGTATATACCCCCCTCCAAACCAAATTCCTAATTACGCCACTGCATGAATGATAGATACAGGTTAACCTAAAAAAACGATAGAACCTTTTCATTCTGAGACGACGCATTGTCGAATAATGAAAAATAACTTTGAACCACGATTTTTAATCGTAGAATATTGATATTCATCATTCATTATTAATACTATTTAACTTCCAATATGCGCCTAGCTATATCCAATATTCTTATGCTTACCAATTTAGTACTTACAGTATAACTAAAACATAGGAATACAATTTTAATAAATAATAATATTATTGAATATAAAATGTATATATTATAATATATTAAATATAATATATAATTTATAGTAAAAAGAACCTAGATACATTTCCATTTTCCCGATTTAAAAAATCTATAAAAAATATGGTTGCCAATGGTGTAAGTGTTTGAAACATAAATAATTTGTTTCTGTGCGTCGCAGTATTCAGTACCTAATCAGTTATAACAAATACTATATACGACAATACGGGACAGCTATGGTAAAAACTGGCGTCCAGTTCTTATCAGTTCCCCCCGAGATTGTAGTTGTGGTTGCCGTAATTTACCCCTTAAAAATAAATGTTATATTATATGAAAAAAAATGTTTATACCAACTAATTATTACTGCATTAGTTTCAATATATTTCCATTTTTTTTTTCATCTGTTTGATCTGGGAGTCGGTGACGAAACTGCTTTTGCATTGCTTCGATCTAATAATATTTCATTCAAAAATACAAGTTTTGTGTCTATAATTTATTCTTTATTGTAATTCTTTTTCAATAAAATTTTATAAAATAAATAAGAAAAGTATAAGAGTATAACTACATTTTATTTACATATTTCAATATTTGTACTGATAATTACTAACAAAATAAATTTAACTTTAACATAATGTTAGGTAGGCATATTAAATATGAGTAATTTTTTTTAACTTTTTATTATTTAAATATTTATATGGTACAGAAGAGTCATTGCACTTTTTTACATAACTATTTATACTGACATTTAAATACTTATCAACAAATGTATCTTCACAGTTTTCACAAATATCCAATGTATATCTTTTACAAATAGTTTTAATTAATATTTTTTGATTTCTTTTAATATTTTCTTTTTTTATAAAAAGTAATTCTTCAATTGATGAATTGAATAATGCAGTTATATGCTTTGTATATTCAAGTGTTTTTATAAAAGGGTACAATAAATTACAATCATTGTATTCCTTCATATTGATTAAGGTATTATCTATGTTGAAAGAAGCACTATTCTCAGATTTGTTACTGGATGCCAATTTTTCAACACAAGCCTTATGAGTTAATTGAGAACAAACCCAACCTGTTATATATGCTATACCATTTGCTGTCTCGTTATCCATAAGAATGTAGTTAATATTCATATTGCTAAGAAAATCTTCATAATTGTTGGAAAAATCAAAATCACTGTCAGCCAACTTATGCAATTGTACTTTATTCTTTACTCTTAGGTCTTTGGATAATGCTAAAAACTTTGATGCATCTTTTTCACAATTTGCATTATTAGATGGATTAATTAACATGTTGCACATAGACATTCGAATTGCAGAAAAAAATTTTGATGCATCTGGAGTTACATTATTACCTCCTTTTGATCTTAAAATTGAAAATAAACATTCAATACAATCTTGGGTTAGACGTCTGGTTAATAAATAATCAATTTCATATTTTATGTTTAATTCATTGTATAAGAGTTTAATACAATTAATATTTTCTTGCCAACCAAGTATGCAAGGGGGGATATTTTTTCGTTTATTATTAACTTTAAGAGTTGAAAGAAATATTTGAGCTTCTTCTAAAAATGACCAATGTTTTGAATTTCTTGTTATTGGCCTTTTAAGTACAACTGATTCACTCATTTTAATACTATTAAAACAGTCGAATATGTCGTTAAAAAATTTAACAAATTTTGCAGTAAATGTTGATTTATTATTCAAACGATTAAATGAAACTAATGTTAAAATTCCTGCACTAACTGAGTTACTAAATGTCTGTGCAGCTAAACAAACTCTCATGGGTGAGAAGGGTGGAAGCTCTATATGAATTTTTTTTAATTTACTTGCTAATCGTGGTTTAATTTTACTATCTATATTGTAAAAGTCTTCAATATCTTTCCAACAATAACTTTCATGTCCATTTGTAAAAGTATATTTTTTTAAATTATTCCTAACAGATTTTAGTAAGTGTGGAGGATCGTGCATAAAAAATATATTTTCATTATTATAAGTGATGTAAGGTTTTTCCATTGT